GGGAGCTGTTGTTCCCATCCTCAAGCACCTATATCATATTTATATAGAAGCATCCTCAGGTAGTGTAGATTGAAGTTTATTCAATTCAAGAACTCCAGGGGTAGGATGGGGCCACAATGGGCGATCAAAGTTTTACATTGAAATATATTGGAAATATCTTTAAAAATCTTCTTCCCAAGAATTGGTCATATTAATTCAGAAGCATCCTCGGGTAGTGTAGATTCAAGTTTGTTCAAATTATGTTCCTCACCAAGGGTAGGGCGGGGCATCGTCTCAAGCCACGGTGCGGAGTCCACATAATAGAGGATCGTACATTTTGGCCATGGTTTGCGACGATGAGGGCGAGGCCACAATAGAAGATCAAGCATATAGGAAAATTTTTTTTAAAAAAATCTTCTAAAGCCATGATTAGTCAAAGAAATATGGAAGCCTCCTCTGTTAATGTAGATTAAAGTGTGAACGAATCATGCTGCCGGGGGGGGGGGGGGGGGGGGACTTGCGATCACTTGTATATCTTTTTTTTTTCAATACTGAACTGATTTCTGCTTTTACCTAGCCAGTGTGCTCAGATGAAGGATGTGGCCCATGGTCTTCTTGTTTCATTTTCCCTTGGACTAGAATGACCTCAGATGTCATGTCCCTGCTCTCTGTTTTTCTTTGGACGCAAAGCAAAATTTGGACAGTAGTATGGCTATAAATACGGGTATGAATAATGCTATGTCATCCATATTTACAGATAAAATAATGCTGGCATTAATTTTTGCTTTTAAAGAATCCGATATCTTTTAGTAATTTCACCTTTTAAAGAATCGGAAAACTTTGGCAATCGTGCAATTAGAGTAGCATCCCTTTTCAGTACAACAAGATGATGAGTGAGGGAAATTTGTACAGACGAGAAAATCCCTTAAATCCCAGTAGGGTTTGTTAACTGTTTTAAGTCCTTGAAAAAAAGTATTATATATTTGGTTTGTTACAGAAAAATATATCAGGTTGTTCAAGTCCATGGAAAGCTTTGCTTCGCCTCGCCTTCCATGAACTTGAACAACCCGACATATTTCCGTGGACAGTCAGTAACAAACTTTAATTAGTAAATGTTGGAAAGTCCACTTTATACTTTCAACATTTTGTTTAGGTGACAAACCAATGAGGAAATCCCTTGATTTTTCAAACTAACGATAAAAAATGCAATTTAGTTATAAACAACATACTTTACCACCGAGACAATGACCTAAAACTACAAATTATAAAGCATTCTGTGGTTGTTCAGATGATGCCGCTTTTGTGTCAATGTCAGTCATACTTCATTCTGTACCACCGAATAGTGTTTTACAAGTACACATATATTGAAAAACCCCAACCATATGACCTACATCCTCACAGTGTCAGGGGTCTGTGTCAACTCCTTGCGTTGGGACCCCTGACAAATTTCATTCGGTTTTATTCGGGCTTGTTTCTCTCACAGATAATTTTAAACAGAAAGGAATCATTTGATTGTTTGAGAGATATAAGAAAAGACAATCGAGATTTGTAATTTTCCCGAAACACGTCGCTGCAGTCAGTCCGTAAGATATCGAATGAAACTTGTCAGGGGTCCCACGGCAACGAGTTGTTGTTTTGTTGCCGAGTGAGTAAACTGATCCTGAAATTAGAGAGTAACTTTCTTCTCTTTTGTTATTTGCGGCCGACAATTTGCAATGGGCGTCCATATTTTCCTGTCTGAATATTTTCTTTTTCATTGTGTATATTCATTTTTCTATATACAGTTAAACATCATTATCTTGAACCTGATGGGACTGAGAAAAAAAATGAGAGATATCCGATAATTCGACATATCTAGGTTAAACTACATGAAGAAAAGGTGATTGGGAATTCTAACTCACTTCGACATACCCATGGTATATTTGAGGTATCGAAGTTCGAATAAGGAAGCTCAACTGCATGAAAAAAATGAATTGTGCATGCTGCAATTTATAATACATGTAAAGATTAAATTCAGATGGATTAAAGGAGAGTGGATCACAATCATCCGCTTAAAGTAAAGGGTCAAAATTTAATCATTATGCAACTGTACATGTCATGTATGCTTAGCACCCTGGTTGTATCTGACGTACGCAGGAACTATATTTGATGTCATTCCTCCGTCCATATCAGTTTTCGGCTTTGCAGATGACCATACCGCAAATACACGCTTTAATCCAAAGTCGAAACACAGCGATATTGAGGCTATTCGCGAGCTTGAGGATTACGCAAAGATTATTAACAACTGGATGAACGCTAATAAACTTAAAATGAATGCATCAAAAACAGAATTTATTCTAATTGGGAGTAAAATGTGCTACAAAAGTGATTAACATTAATGGAAATGAAATCAAGTCCGTAAAATGTATATATACGATACTTGGGTGCATTTTTAGATGAAAATCTTAATTTCAAAGAATATGTAAATAGGAAATGTCGTACAGCAATGTTAAATTATTTAAGGATCAAAAGCATTCGCAGATATTTAACGAAGGAAGCTACGGAAATGTTGGTTCTATCATTAGTTATTTCACATTTAAACTATTGCAATGTTATTTTATTCGGTACAGCACAATACGAAATTAATAAAATGCAACGAATATTCAAAACGTGTGCCAAATTGGTTTTAAATTGGAGGAAATTTGACAATTCAAAAGAAGCTCTATCTGATCTCCATTGGCTACCGATAAAATCTAGAATATCATTCAAAATTCTGATATTCATGTGGGCCAAGCACCAGAATATTTAATTGAACTTTGTCAAAACAAACTTCAAATCAAAAATCGCGCTCTTCCCGAAATCCCCATTTAAGAAAAGAAAAACTTTCAGCGACAGGAGTTTTAGTACGGTACTACCATCGGACCAAAATTGTGGAATGAACTGCCTAAACAATCCAAATCTATTGATGATTTCAAATACAACTTATAAAATTACTTCTTTAGGGACTTTGATGCTTTATTTTAGTTATTACTCTCCATGTATATTTGTATCTATTGTACGTAAATATTTTTTTTTTACAGTTTTACTGTATAACGCCATTGAATATACGTTTATGTAAAAATAGGCGTTTAATCAAATAAATCAGTTTCAGTTTCATATATGTTCTGGTTAAAGGACTTATCACATGATTTTTCGAAAATTGTAATTTTATGAAAAATATTATCTACAACCTTGTTTCTTAAAATACTGAATCCAATAAACGTTGTTGAAAGCATATTTTAAGAGATATTGGAAGTTGAAATTCAAATACGGCAATATGCATATTTCAGTCGGATTTCGGCGAAATGCTGCTCTGACGTCATGATAGAGAGATGAGAATATACACACTATTTACGGAGTTATCAACGACAAATGCAGCTTAATTACGAAAAATGTGAAAAATTTCCTAACGTGCTTTTCAATTGCTATAGAAACATTAACTAGTTCTAAAGTATAAGGCTTATGAGATATTTTCGTTTTTTTATTCCAAACATTTAGAATCTGTAGCTCTGATTACGGCAATATTTCGTGATAGGGAAATTATTTTTCAAGATCGCCATCCTTTAAAAAACATATGAAGACTTGCATAAATTAATATTATGTTAAAAACGAAGAACAACAAAGTTATATAATGTTAAATTTGTGAATCAAATATGTAAATACATGTGATAAGATGAAATATCAAATCGTATTCTGATGGCGAGTTTCTTCGTCTTCGCCGCGTCTCCCTCGCTATCGTCGCTGCTATTTTTTACAATTTACAGATTTTCTCTTGCTGACAATTTTAACATATAAAGTTGGATATTCAATTTCATATCAATAAAATAAGCGATTTGGTCGTCCACAACGCCGAAAATTCGTGTAGCGAAAGCATTTCACAAAAAAAGTTGCATTAGAATTGGGACTAAGTGCTATATGGTTGAAAAAAGAATTTAAAACTAGTTCCTTTATTTGGATTTGAAGTTAGTAACTGCTGTTTAAATAGTTGCAACTATTAATGTTGCCAAATCCCTTTACGCTTTCTTGTAGAACTCAGTTTGCAACTATTAACCTACCATGAACCAAGGAAAGTAAGCTTATTTATATTCCCTGGAAGTTTAAGCTATACAAGTGTTCTTGTATCGAGTAAGAGTCCAAGATTCTTCCATCTGTCACCTCGCTGTAGGAAGTATTTGAGACTGAAAGATTAAAACGAGCTCAAGGTTTCTTCAATATTATTAGCACCAACCTCTGAATATAAAAGCAGTCCTTGCTTATTTCTCAAATTGATATAATTCATAATGATATGTGAATTTCCTCAAACCCAGTTTATTGTCCCAAGTGTATTTTCTAAGGTATATGTGCTGTAAACCAACTTCGCAATTTATTAGTTTGAAATCTATCCGCGGGGACTACGTGTAATTTGGCGACTGAGGAATTATTTCAAATTCACATTGAAATAAAAGTTCGCGGCGAGATATATTCCCCTGTAAAATCGCAAATAAAAGTTGGTCAAGTTTACAGCACGTTTGCTGTTGCTGCTATTTTTGTCTCAATCGGCATAACAATTAAAACTAGTTGTTGTAGAATTTTAACAGCATGATGGCAAAAATACGTTAATGTAGAATTGACTAGATATATATTCTCAATAGCATTATATGTATTTGAAGGGGAAAAATCTAATTGAAATGAAACAATTGTTAAAAGGTTTCGTAAACATATACCGCATACAGACTTGCAAACAATTTTGCCCCCGTTTTAAATTCACCCAGACATGAGTGTGTTCAGGAAATAATGCTGTCTTTCTCGAATTCACCCCGTTTTAAATTCATCCACTTGTGCGGAGGGCGAAATTAAAACGACGGGGAAAATTTCCCTGAATATAGCAGTAAAAAGTTTCATTTATTTAAATATAGGGGAAAAAAATATGTTCACACAAGACAAGACCCTTATATCCCTTTTCATTTCGCTACCTGCAGTTTGTAAACAAACTCTGACAGAAAATCAACAAATATTTGAAATATTTCAACAATATTTAATCAGTGATAAAACAATGGTTTAACAGACATTCACATCTGTAAAGAAATTGTTCGTTCATAATAATTTCTGGGATTTCAAAGAGCGACGAACAAACTGGCTGCCTGCAGACTGCTTTTCGAGCCTGAAACATAAAAGAAATAGCATGGGTTAAAAAAAATGTTCAATTGGAATTTCGAAGTTCCAAAAACTTATACCTTGCCATTTTTTAAAGAATACATGTAGAATAAATCTGATAAAAGAAAGTAATTGGTATGTTCTTACCTGTTAATCAAGCCAGACACATAGACGTTTAGCCACATGGACAAGGCTTTGGATTGTCTTTCAATGTCGCTTATAGCTTTCTCTGTAATGAAATAAGTGCTGTTTCAGAAACTTTTCGTAAACTTATAGACAATTCACACATCTCATCTAATGCTATAAACTATTAATTTAAAACTCTTGAATACCTTTCTCCTTTCTTTGCTCTTCTATTGCTTTAAATTCAGCATTAATCTTACACATCAACTGTCTGTTTTCTACATTAAGAGAGTTAAAAAAAGATTATATGACCACCAGATATGATAATTAATAGAATCATACATATAAATAAAAAAGATTTATTATAATGCAGAGTTAATAATAACCTTCTGCAAGACTGGCTACCGTCTTGTGCATTGCATCAAGGCGCCCCAAGAATTCAAACGCCATGCATACAATGGCCACACACAAAACCAAGAAGCAGAAGACTGCCCACAGACGTAAGAAACCTTTTGTTGAGGTGAAAGATATGATATCACTGACGAGAGAGAATTTCTGAACTGACAGAGAAAGAATTTGCTGAGCAAAATCCAAGCCGAATCCAAAGAGAGACGAATGCACAGACGAAAAACTGCTGACAATGTCATCATACATGTAAGTGCAAAAGTACTCTAGATGGAATGCCGAAATCTTGACTTTATCACTGAACTGAACTAAAAATGTCTTGATAGAGTCCAGAACATCAACCACTAATGAATGAACGTCTGAACAGACCTCAAGAACAAATCTGAACAGAGAGTCCAAGGCACATACACTGCTGGTGGCGAGAGAGGCCGTAAGATTAAAAACCTTCTCGTCAACACTGGAAAGTGTTTGCTGAGAAAGAGAGAAAGAAAGAATAGAAAAAAGAACATGAGTGATATCATGATCTTGGAATTTATTGACAACGAAATAGACTTCGACTTACCGATATGTGCCAAGTGGCTTGCGTGGTAAGATTCCACATGCCCTCTACAAATCTGAAATAAATTAAAGTGGAATGTAATTTTCCTGTATTTTATATAGTGAAATAAAACAACAAAACATCGTTTGGGTTGCTAAATATATAAATTGATATTCAACAACCTTCCTCAGTCCTCACCTTTTCCTCCGGAAAAAATGGACGATGCTATTATTTATCACTAGACAATGCGTTTTTTACTCTTCATATTACATTGTAATTATTGTTTGTTATCAAATTTAAAGAGCTATATTTACTTATATTAGTACCTATCTATGCCAGGTATTTCCGGTGTAACCACCTGGCCTGCATGAATAAAGCAAAGAATGAGTACGATACTGGCGATATGCATCTCGAGACTCTTGTTTTGCAACTGATGCTGAGTGACGGGAAAGCTTCCTTATATACCCTCCTGTATTTTTGCTCCTTTCTGATTGGATCAATTTCGAGCGTGCTGATTGGCGATAAACATCCAATCAGAAGTGGCGCGAAAATACATCGAAAACGCTGATAGCCATCTTGAAACGGCGATTTGTGCTACAGGCGTTAGATTTCTAGAGTTACACATCGTAATGTTATGGTTTTATGGAAAGACAATTAGAGCTATGGGTTAAATTTTGGCGATCTTTCAAAGTATGTCAAAATGGCGAGGAGATTTTGTTTATTTTCTGAAAACTAATGAAATTTTCGATATTTTTTGGTTGATTTTCAGTCACAGGAACCTGAATAATTTTTTTTGCTTTGCCTTCACAGCTTATTTTCTTCCAAATTTATTAAAATCAAGAAAAACATACAAAGAGGCATCGTTTGATATGATATTTTCTAGACTACTGAAGTATTATTTGTCGAAATATTGCATTCAAAGTAACCACATTAAACACAAGCAGCAAATGCTGCAACATCTAAAAACCTCTTCTTCAAATTACAGTATTTTTCCAGATATTAAGGAGAAATAAACAAGATTGTTGCTAAATATCGCTAAAAAAGTTTTTATTTCCCCCCCTAAACATCACTTTTAATGATTTATAAGCAAGTTTGGGTTCTTCCCTATATTGACCACTACACTCCATATTTGTTTACAGTTTACCTTTACCTAGCTACGGCGTCATGGTTACAAAGCATTCGAGATTACAGCGCGTAACGTTAATGTAATGTTCCGAGCATTATCTGACGATAAATCCATAGAATTATACAAATGTCATAGGCCCTACAAGTTTTTTTCAAACAGAAACCACATTGTGATGTAGAGTTCAGTAATAGTCCAATAACATTTTTTTCACAATTAGGCATAGTTTCACAATTTAGCCTAAAAGAGGTTATTGAGAAAAGAAAAACGAAACAGGGGCATATTTATCCAGATCGAGGTGTTCGCGGCTGTGGATTTTCTGAACATTTCTTACAAATGCTTTTGTGAATTTGGGATTTATTTAAGTCTGTTTTCTTTAAATTGTCAATCGCTTTTCCTGTTCTTAAATTATCGTGCCAGGATATGCCTAGGCCTAATAGTCGAGTGATGAAATTAGATATAAGGTGTGTCTGTGGATTTTATCAGTACTACAATCTGTCATGAATCAATGACGCAATTACTTACAGTAGTTTCAGTGATGTTAGGCGTTTATCCTCACTATAAATCACCATGAATTCAGCTGGTGTCATGTCTGTACAGCCCGCCATTCTATGACATCATCAAATAGTTCACTTGGCGCAATAAAATTGAATAGCAATTTGCAACAATGAAAAACAAGTACAAGTTGGCCTAGATTGTGGTTAAATAATGGTTTAAATATATTAAACTATTTTAATATACAATGCCTGTAGATGTGATTCCCCCTCTTATAAGTTGATGTTGTCTGGTACTATTTGCTGTTGCCCAAGAATATATTATTATATTGAATCACACCACAAGAAGCTCCACCACAAGAGATACATAGAGGATATTCAATGTTTTGTAGATGAATATGGAATTTATTTCACGAGTGGGACTGGATTTTTTGATATTTTCACGAGTGCAAAGCACGAGTGAAAATATCAAAAAATCCTGTCTCGCGAGTGAAATAAAATCCATATTCATCTACAAAACATTGAATTTTCTGTTTATTACATTTTCTTTGATTTTCCCTTTGACTCTGTCTTTTCGCAACAGGGTGTCATAGGCTGTGATGTCATAGTTGAGCGATTGAGACGTCATATGATAGCTATAAGCGATTGCGAGATTGGAAAACGGATTCTTAACAACATATTTGGAGAAACTTTGGCAGGTTTAGTCTCTATCAAGACGGTTTAGTTACTATCTCTATCTTATGACAGGCCAGAAATTATCTTTTTACCTACTTTGATATCCTTTCACAATGTGAGAGAATATCACTTTGGTATCCTTTCACACTGTGAGAGAATATCACTTTTATTCAATAAACAAATCACAGTATTTCATTATTGAAAATGTAATAAACTAGGCTATAGACCTAGTGTTTGTTCCCAAAACAACGAATTCTTGATTCACCAAGTAATTTATAATCAAACATTAAACTGACAATGTATATTAGTTAATAATTTGATTATCTATAACAAAATGCATTTTATTGAGGCCTGAGAACTCATTGAAAAATCAACTTCCTCAAGTTTCTTTGAAGTATAATTCCAACTAGACTACTTTTGGGGGATTAAAATTGTAAAGATATGATAGCCTTATGGATGTGGGCATGAAATGTTTGGATAAAGATATAGAAAATTTTGGCCTTCATGATGCAGGCTCGTATCCAGGATTTTTTTTTCCAGTGGGGCACCCCATTGAAAAAAAAATTCCCTTCCCATACGTTGTAAACCCCCCCCCCCCCTAAAATCCATTTCTCAAACTGAAAAACAATTTCGTGGTGGTGATGGTAGGGTCTACGGTTTCTAGGGGGGGGGGGGGGTCCAAAGTCATTTTTATTTGCTTCAGTTTATACTTTAATAACTCTGCAAATTTCAGGAGGGGTCCGGACCCCCCCCCCCCCCCCCGATCTGCGCATGTGGTGTACACAAATATTTCCAAAACATTAAAAAGAGATCCATTGGCCACAATGCTCACCTTAGTCCTCTTGTTCATCACAAGATTTAAGGATATCCACTCCTCAGCCAGGAAAGATAACTCTTAAAATATTTATTTAAAAGTCTCAAAAATGAAGCTTGAAGTTGAAGTTGAAATCTTTACGTGCAACAATTTTCATTTCATGCATCTCAGTATGATTCAAGGTTCTTTGAAGTCTTAGATCAGTCATGTAAAAAGGTGACACTTGTGTGTACCGACCCCCCCCCCCCCTTACAAATTCAATTTTTTTTTTTTAAGAAAATTCGTATTTCCAATGATAGCACACGCTTTTTACAATGTGTATTGTACAGCAATTTAAGTAAATAGAAGATCTTAAATACCATATAAAAAAAATTCCCTCCATATGCCTGGATACCTATAGTTTTTATCCTACAAATAACAATATATTTGTTGCTCAATTTTCAGTTGGAAAATGCATAGCGGATGCTTTTATTTTCGTTTCCTGAAAATACATTTGAGATTTGATAATTTTCCCTGTATAAATTCACAGACATTTTTGTGAGCATTTACAATTACTTCAGTGCTGATTTTCAGAACCAGAGGATCAGACTACCTAAAAAAAAATCATCTTTATTCACATGAAAAATTCTTGCTCCCTATTGTGGCCCAACCTTAGCCCCAAGGGTCTTGACATAAACACATCCTGGGGATGCTGCAGTAACCTTGCTGTCCTGCAGAAGTAAACATGCACTAGGTGAAAACTGCTCCCTCATTTTCACTTCACTCTAACCCTTGAATCAATTATTTGAAGAGAAAAAAAATGAATCCACACAACATTAGAATGTTTCCTTTTGAATGGTATTTAGCATCACAGTGGTCCTGTTATTTTTTACAGAATGTTTTAAAATAAAATCCTTATTATATAGATCCCATATTGTGATCCCCCAGGCCATAATTTGAACAAACTTGAACCTGAACTACCTTGGGATGCTTGCATACTATTCTGATTATATTGTGGCTTCCATCCTACCCTTGGGAGCCATGATTTGAACAAATTTGAATCTGCATTACCCGAGGTCATGGTTGCATATTAATATCACTATTCACAGATCTGCTGTTTGTGACAGGAAGATTTTTAAATATTTTTTCTGTATATTCCAATGTTAAACATTGATCCCTTATATGTGGCCCAATTAACCCTACCCCAGTGGGCAATGATTTGAATATTAAACTTGAATCTGCACTACCTGGTGAGGCATGGAATTTAAGTGTACCGACCATGGCCATGCTGTTCTTATGAAGGAGATTTTTAAACATTTTTTTTTTCTTTTATATTCTCAAGTAAAACTTTGATCCCTTACTGTGGCCCCACCCTACCCCTAATGGCCATGATTTGAACAAAGCTGTACCTGCTCTACTTGAGGATGACTGCCCTCCTCACCTGTTCTCAAGAAGAAAATTCAGATTGTAAAAAAGACTATCTAATAAGAGACAAGATTTTTTTTTCCTGTTAGAGTGTTTAATCAAGAAACATTAACAAATGTTAAAAGTATCTATGCTACTGAATATAGTTACATACATAACTGCAAAATGTATATTAGATCCATCCTGAACTTAATATTTCTAAGATGTAAACACGAAAGCACTGATTTAGAGACAGTTGAAATCACCTGATGAAAAAAAAAAATGAATGGAATATCAACCTACCAAGGTGTAAACTGTATTGTACAGATAAAGTATCAATAATTATCAGTAATTTTTAAATGTTCAAAAAACAAAAAACAAAAAAAAAAAAAGAAAGAAAAATTAGTTTTAGTATTTAAAAAAGCAGTATACATTTTCTACATACAAGTTACACTATATATCATCAAAAAAAATTTAAAAAACCCTCAGTGTTCAATCAAATGAGTGAATTCAGTTTTTTTTTTTTAAATATTCTAGTATATAATTAAGCGTAAGGAAATATTTAGATTATTAAAGCACACCATGTTAATGTTGTACGTTGTAGTTGTACATGTATATGAATACAAAATGACTAAAATAGCAGTGTGAATAACATTTTCATAATTTATTTACCAAAAAATCACCAAAGCAGTTAAGCTTATGTGTTAACTATTTTGTATAAGTTAAATGATAGATGAGCATATCAAGAAATTTTGAAATTTAAAAAACTTAAAAGAAGAAAAAAAATTGCTACTTTGAGCTTTGATATCATATTTTATGAGGCAATAACAATTGAGGGAAAATTTCTTTTTCTTTAAATACATTAACTTCTGGGCTACTTTTGGTTGGTTGCTTAGGGGGGATTTAACTAAACATAATGACTAATGATACTAGAATATTAATAAAATCCTTATTGCCTAACATGTACAAATCTTGAGCAATACAAATGTACTTTATTCAAAAAATAAAAAAAAATGTTTGCAACAAATCCCCTCTTTCTGATTCATGTTTCTAAATATGCTTCAAATTTGTAATCCATACACATTACAATGTATTTTCTCTGTACATAACAATAATTTTCACATGTTCCATTACATGAAATAAGAACCTTTACAAGAGTAGGTCTTGAGTTGCGAGATAAACTCAGATTTGAAGTCCTAACATCTCATCCACTGCAGATTTCATGAAGTTTATATAGAGATTCTAAATTAAAATATTGCACTGATAAATTTGAAAATAAAGTGTAGTGTATTAAAATAACAGGACAACTGAAAATATACATTGTAGAACAGATACAAATAGCTAGAGAAATAGAAAAAAAAAATACCCATTTTATCAGAGAGAAAGAAAAACTGATGTTTTTATTTATCTCGGAAACTGATTCATGTTTTTATAGTAGATGGGACTGTCTAGAGTTTGTTTTTGGTCAAAGAAACCATCATGATTATATATATTTGCTGACAATGACCATATTATGTTTAAATATACTATTTCATTTCCTTTTGGAAAAGTTCCACAATTACAATAATTCCAAAATAGAACTGGCAAGATCTAACATTGAAATCCTTGTAAGATAAAGTATATTGATGATTTTTTTCCCCCTGACATTTCAAAAACTTCATATCTGCAACTTCATATGCAAATTTCTAGGGGTAAAAAGTCAATGGCTGAATATGTGAAGAAGGAATTTAAAATTCTCTCCTTTATATAAATAACTAGAATACCAAGTGACCTTGAAACCATTTACAAATATTCTTTCACTTTTTTTCTTTTTTATAACATTTTACACATCTCGATACACTAGTATGAGAGACTCAACTACTTGCCCCAAGTAAAGATACACTACTGACCATCTACAATTAAATCTTTGGAAGAGTAATGATTACTTGTTTAAACTTTCCATTTTTTTTCTCAAAATCCTCAATTTTCTATGTTATACTTTTTTAACTAGCTTTAGAAAAAAATTCTTTTCATGCATTAAATGTCAATTTCTTTGATATCAATATGAGAACTATTCAGAAAACCAGTTCTTAAACTGCCACCAGTCATCCTGTCAAAAATACTGAAAAAATAAGCAATACATTGAACAGACTTTTAAAAACATTTTGAGTTTCAAATCAGGAGAAAGATTAATTGGACAGGTTGATAAGTGGCAAGACCATTCATATAGAGACTCTTGAATTTTGTACTCTCGAATAACTTTGACCATCTATTGTTTTGTGATTTATATCAAACATGTATGTAGCTAATAAACCCAATATTTAAACAGACACAATAAACTCTGGGTTAACGAAAGAGAATCCAGCAAACTCGGTCTGATCTAAGTTCATGATGAACAGTTTGTCTGTTGGTGTCAGTTTGGGAGCCTCACTGGTAAATTCTCTGTCGAAATTACTCACATCTTTACGGCTTTTCTGTAAATTGAAAATAACATAAATTGAGTTATCAATATGGAATGGCACCATGAGAAATGTTTATCTGCTTGAAGAAATTGATTTATGTATACAGTGATTGTATTGGTCAAAGAACTAAACAAACAGGTTTCTTGATTTTTTGATAAGTCACACACTAAAATGTTAGGGCTAGGTTTCATTAACAAATAGCTCCAGATCCCGTCAAGGTTTATTCTTTCCACAGTCACCAGCTTTTTCCATAAGTTCATGACAATACATATACATAAATAGTGTATTATACGCTTTAAATTTTTTCAAATTAACTAATAATTCACTCTTTGTTTAGAAGAGACATTATAATGTTGTCCTGTCTATGAATGAATTATGGCTAACAAAACATCACACTTTGCTCAATCAAGAATTTAATCATAAAACATACCACTAATACTGATCAGAATGCTTTATTCAAACCTTTTTCAAAAGCTAAAATAATTGCCGTACATTACATTAGTCAGATGAATATGATTTTTTCAGGCAGAGGGTATGTTTAATACTATTTCAGAGTTAATGTTATATCCTTGAGTCCTACTCCTACAAGTAAGACCCTCAGTTAACGTTCCTTTGCTCCTCAATATATGCCTTGGTGCCAAGTCAAAAGTATCTCTCCACGAATCTCTAGCATGCTGGAGTATCTATTTCCAAATAGCATTACAGGGCCTCTTTTAGAGCTTCTATATAAAAATATTTCAGAATTGCCATGATTTGTTGTTATCACTTTTCTCTTATTTTTTTTCTCTTTAAGCCATGTCCACTAACATGTTGTTTAAAAAAAATTACCCCTCATTCCAATCTTCATGGTGCTTTATTGTTTTATTACAGTACTGCTTACCAAAAAGCCCTCTTGGACTATTTGTATATACAGGAGTATATCATCTGTCCAAGTTTTTTTTTTTTTTTAGACAAATTACATTTTAGTTTTACAAACAAATTTTGTCAGCAACAAAGTCTTTTCTGCTTGAGTTTTCTTGTTAGTTGCAAAGGCATGCAGGAACAAGGTGGAATTACTTTGGCCTCGTGTACATTTCTATTTCTTTGCATTTTTGCCAGAAAGTTTTAACTAATGTGTCCACTTTCAAAGAATCATAATCAACCATCTCCTGAAATAGTAAGTAATATGTAGGTATAAAAAATCCCTATTAAGGTTATTTAAAAAAAACAAAAACAAAATCTATCTAAATTTTCTTTAGGTTGCTTTAATAGTGGTCAACAAACAATGGCGCAGACAACAAGTTTTAACAGACAATAGAGTAAATGTAATTTGAAAAAGAAAAAAAAACATAAAATTTTCTGAAAAAAAAGAAACATCAAATTAAGTTCTATACGGTTAAATGAAGATAATTATCCTTAAAAAAAATCTTAGAGCTCTGTTTTCACAATGCTGGAGTAAGAACTGGTGGGTTTTGTAACAAGTCAGACCATTACTGACAAAAATAAATTATAAAATGCAATACAAAGTGAAAAAAAAATCCAGACGCCCTTTCCAAAGTATAAGTACATGCAACATTGTATATATATCATATAGGTTATGCTTGTATTATGAGGTGGATCAGCATCAGAAGAAATGTATAAATAAAACCTCTCATATAAATAATTTACATACATCATGAATTGTTACTTTCTCACAAAAATTTTCAGCAGTGTGTAGAATTACATTAGATAACAAAATTTGTTAATAAAGCAGTGGCATTTTTTTTTTTTACAGTGAAAAATTCCTATGTGATATTTGACACCCAGGTATGGTTTTGATCTGACATGGAGCTTTTCACTTGATAAATTCTTAAATGTACTACCTCTACTTTCTATTTTGGTTAAAAAATTGTAATACATGAAGTTCAAATTGTTAAGATTAATATTTCAATTAGAATGATATTTATTAACTACTTTATGATGATCTACAGTGTATTAAAAAAAAAAATTAAATATATTACTTGAGCTCTTTGTTACAATCAAATGCATTTATACATAGTCAGGGTTGTCCCTAAGAATTGAAGTAGCAGGGGAAATTCAAAAAGTAGAAGGGGGTCTGAGGTTCCTTTCCTAACTTGAGGTTGAGGAAGAATACTAGAGTAACAGGGGGATAACATCATTATAGGTGGGGAAATTCCCCGGCCCCCGGGTCTTAGGGACAACCCTGATAGTACTTGATACTGCTGCCAATTATAAAAAAAAAACTCTTTAATAAATTCACCTTCCTTATAAAAGAAGTTTCAGATTCTGAATTCCACTATTAGAAGAACAAGACAGAAATCGGTAACAATTCCAATTCAGTGCATGACAGTCTTAAGAATTTTATTTTTCCCCCTCAACTCTCTGAAAAGACTGTATCTGATTAAGTGAGAGGTCTATTTTTGTTCACTGATGGTATGTGATAGACTTAATAAACTAGCACAATCATGTAATGCTAGTGAAACTCATTCATGAATACTGCAATTATCCTCAGGCAGAAAATTGATTTGGGGACTACCTTCTAAATGAATGTTTCATCTAAAAAACAGACAGGGCTGCCATTAATCCATTCAATTTTTGATGATGTAATTTACGACCTGGTATTGGCAATTTCAGTTAATTTATAGCTTTACAAAAATGGCTGAATTATTCATTTTATTTATCCTCGATGAAAAAGTAGATAAATTATTCTTGAAAATATCCTCAAGTCAAATTTAATATTTACAATGTCCTCTAAGTCACAGGTATAGATAATTTAAAAAAAAAAATTACAGAAGTGCACTTGTGGGTGAAAAAAGTCAAATAGATTTTGTCTTGCTACTTCAGCTAGCACTGTTGCTACTGAAAATCATATAGCACAGCTTTGTTTTCAGCTCCACGTAAGATTATATTTTAAACTGATAGAACCTGATTTATTTTGCAAAATTGGTTCAAGATAAAAGTAATGTTATCAAAAGAAGAACAAAAGGAAATGGAAGTCTAGAGTATTTAAAAAAAATTTAAAAAATCCAGAACTTCAGAATACAGGCTGACTCCATTTTGAATTCTAGTAATACTTCTGCAGAAGTTACCCTTGCATATAATGAAAAAATATTCCTGGCTTTAAATCAGCACACAAACTTCAGAGGATAAATAACATGCTTTCTCAGCTTGTACTCAGTTCAAACTAATGAAATGAAATAACCTCTGACCAGTACATCCATATTTCACACTAAACTAATAGTGTGAGAATATTTGCGAAGTTTCAATTAAGGGTGGTATTTTTTCCTGTCATTTGTATGTTCTTAGTTAAAATGATAGGTTTCTTCCTGAATAAATAAAAGAGACATTACACTAACATCTAGTGACAACCATACCTAATGAACTGGTTAATAAGAGTGCCCCATACTGCATGTAATATATAGCGGGTATCAATTATCATACAAAAATGTACAATCAGATTATATAACAATTAATTTTTCAAAAAAAAAAATGTGAAAAAAGCATACATGTACATATAAAATAGATTAAAAGTTAACGTGCTGCACATATATATATCACCTGTTCTGTTGTAATGCACAAAATTCTAATTTTTACTGTAAAAACATTTATCATGCTCTTAGCTTCATCTGAAATGTTTGGTGTTACACATTTACAGAAAACATATTCTGCATGATTAGTCACAGAAAATATTTTTTTTCAAAAAGATTTGAAATAAAAAAATTCTTGTAATTAGAGAGAAAATTTACAACTGATAACATGCAAAAATAGTTAGGAGAATGGTCTTCAACTTCAAAAAATGTTTCAGTTTTACAGGGGGAAACAATTTTGAGCCAAGGGTAACGTAACCCATTACATTCTATATCTGAGGTACTTTTTTCCTACCGGTATATCAACTTTTCATAGGAGAGTATCTCAGACAGTGATTTTGTCATCTATTAAGTTATATACAAGTTCTGCACAGTAAGAAAACAGTTTACAAATATGGTTTTCCAATTCAAGAAATGGCAGGAAATCTATAAACTCCACACAACTTCATTGACAAAATACAGTCTTTGTTAAGATTTCACAATATTTTTTCCTATTTTCATTATTATTAAAATATCTTTTTAAAATATTTTTGTCAAGAAAATGAGTTTCAAGTATTGTGATATATAGATAAACATATCTAAAATTCATCCATTCATTTTTCTCTACATACAAACATATAAACACCGAGTTCATAGGTGATAATTGCTAGACTCTAGTAATACAACAGCAATGTGCATGTTTACATACAACTAGAAACATTTATACTCATACAAACATAACCTGTCAATGCCTACTGGACATTTCAACTCATTCAGTTTTGATTGCATATGCATGTAAATAACAAATCTCATATGACACCGTCATAACTGACTTTCTTAGATGAACTTTTTATATGAATTTTTCACCCCCATGCAAACATATCCTTCATAATACATGTATTGGAAAATTTGATTTTCAAACATGGGAGTTTTTTTTTTAAATATATGTCCAACACACATATCATCATACAAGGAATCCATTTAATGTAAAAAGAAATTTCTAGTGAGCTATAATGCGGAATTTTCGGAACGAGCAAAATCAGTAAAGAAAGGATTGACGTAAGTAAAGTCTCGGAATGCATTTTCATCTATGTTCATGATAACAACACTGTCCGTCGGTGTGTTTTTCAGTTTCGCAGCAGTGAACATCTTGTCAAAATTTTCAGCCTTTCGTGGGTTATTCTGTAAAAAGCAAATTAAAAGAAACAAATACTTAAAAAAAACAAGGAAAACACAAAGAAAAATAATAAGACAACAAATCAAAATTCTACACAGCAAATTATCTATAACATTATGCATCTAAGAGTTAGATCAAACTTATTCTTGCAGAAATTAAAGGTTGACTTAAACTCAAAGAAGCCTCAACTTCCCACTTATCATTCTTTTATTTAATTTTTTTTAGGGGGGGTTATAGTTCTTGCAAAGCAATTTGAAAGAATGAAGATGAGGACATATCTTTTTGGAATATGATTTGATAAAAGAATACATATAATTTTTATTTCATACAATTATCTCTTTCATTACTAGTTTGCTTGTTTGTTGACTTTTTTAATTAACAGTAAAACTGTGACTTAATTAAATTTATTTCTGTCTCATATCAAAGTGTAAATGAATATAGTTGTAATCACAAAGATTGATAGATACCTATTAGGCAAAATTATATTGTAGTATCTGTAGCACTTAACAACCTTACAATGTGCGAATGACCAGAAGAAAAAGACAAGCATGGCCGAATATTCAAAAGCCTACTCTTGTCTGCAAAAGGATAATCATACTGATACATTTTTTTTCTAAGTACATAATTCCTGCCCAATTATATCAATGACTCTGTCAAGTACATCCTTGTGGCTGAATAAAACACTTTCTGCGATTGCTGCTTTCAATAAGCAGAGCCTGTAAATATGCTTCATCAAGTTTATGTAAAAACTAGATGTACAAGTATGACACAAATACCCCTGCCAACATTCAAAAAGTCTAAGGATGTGAAGATAATGATGGGTGGAAATGAAACAATAACAGACTATCATATTGCTGGCTTATTTTTTTTGGTCATACATCACATGAGAAACAGTGAATAATTAGAAATTTTCAAATCATTAGGGTCAGAACTCTGGTAAAAATGGGTCCATCAATATGAAACTTGCATTTGATCTGTAAGTCATAAGTGAACACACTAAAAAACAGTATTAGTTGATCATCAAAAAGCACAGCAAAAAAAAGTCTGAAAACAGTAAATAATTAGAAATTTTTAAAGTCTAAGGGCAGTAACTTTCCTGTATGAAAGTCAATCAACATGAAACTGAAACTTGATCTCCAAGTCATATAAAGAGACAAACTAAAAAAAAAAAATTAATTATCTACCAGCACAACAAAAAAAAGTCTAAAAAGGGTAAATAATTAGAAATTTTTAAAGTCTATGGGCAGAAACTTTCTTGTGTGAAAGTCAATTAACATGAAACTGAAACTTGATCTCGAAGTTATCCATATAAAGAGACAAAAAAACTAATTATCTACCAGCACAGCAAAAAAAAAAAAAAAAAAAAAAAAAAAGAAAAAAAAGTCCAGAAAACAGTTTAATAATTAGAAATTTTCAAAGTCTGAGGCCAATAACTTTCATGAAAATGGGCCAATCAACATGAAACTTACACTTGATCTGTGAGTCATCTATACAAAAAGACATACCAAAAAAAATCATCTCATTATCTACAAACACAGCCAAAATAAAAAAAAATCTAGAAATCTGTGAATAATTAGAAATTTTCAAAGTTTAAGGGCAAAAATTTTGTCAAAATGGGTCAATTAACAAGAAACTTAATCTTGATCTGTAAGTTATTAATATAAAGAGATTCTACAAAGAATTAGCTCATTATCTACAAGCACAGCAATAAATGTTTGAAAAACTATATGAAAGAATGATAAAATAACAGACAGAAAGGTAGTAACACTATGTGCCCTGATCAATTCATGGGGGGGGGGGGGGGGGCATAAAAAAAGTTTTCTAGTCAAAGCTTTATGAAATATTGGATCTATTTCTAAGTTTGTGAATGTACAATTTGCTGTCAACAACATTCAGTAGCTGCCACAATATTGAGCCATTATTTAACTTCATGTGAAAATCTACCAGTGACCTGTTTACAGAAAAGTTGAGTGAAATGTGTCTTTACTACTTTTCAGGTGAATAAAGTGAGGATATCCCAAGACATCATGGTAAATTGTGATGACATCTAACATGTAGATATCTGCACACAGATATCTGTTAACCATTTACTTACAGTAATCCCAGTTTTTGCCTTAGTAATGATACAAAGTCTGAATAAAATAGCTGCATAAAACAACATGCATATAGTCACATTAAACGAAACAAAAATAAGCCCCCTTCAAAATTATGAGATCTCCAAATAATTTATAACATCCTGAACACAACAGAATCCCAACACCTGCCATTAATACAAAAGAAAACTTTCTCTGGAATAATAAATCAAATGATAGTGCAAATCAATGTAAACAAAATCTAGACATCTTAATTTTAAAAATTCTTTCAATTAAATTCCTTTATTTCCCCTTTTAAGCTAGTCCAAATACCATCTGAATTTTTTTTTTCAAAACTGAGATTCATTAGTAAAAACTTGTGTACACAAGTTAATGTAAACTCTGAGTTTTACTTTATCATTATAGTTCTGATTATTTGATTCTTCTATTTCTTTCACCTTTCTCCTCAAAATGCACAGATTTAAAACTTAATTGCATTTAAACAAACTCACTTCCAAAATAATCAAACTATTCTTTATTACGTGGCAGTAATTTTTTTTTTTCACTTCTACAAACACTATTATTTGTGACAAGAAGTAACAGATATAAACGTAAGAAATCAAAGCCTCAACAAATGTTATCCTAAGCAAGACAAAGTTTCACACCAAACGAATGTTCTGGTAGTGTATATCCCTAGATGCAACATCTATGCAACTTTGGTTTAGATAGGATCTATATTTACTTGGGAATGGACCTTCTCCAAAAAATGAACTGTTCAATCACTTGGAAAATGTAAGTTAGATCCAGCATCCGAAGCATGTCTAGTAGTGTGCATCTTTAGATGCATCACCTATGGAAGTTTAGTCAACATATGGTTTATAGTACTTAGGGAATAAACCTGCACCAAAAACTTAAACCAGTTCACTTATCCATAAATGTAGGTCAGATCCATCACCTGAAGCAAATCTGGTAGTATGAATCCCTAAATGCAACCACCAAGCAAGTTTAGTAACCAAAGGGCTTGAAGTTACTTGGGAAAGAACCTGTTCCAACAACTTTAGTCTATTAAATCATCCAGAAAATGTAGGTCAGATTCAGCAACAGAACAAGTATGGTAGTGTGCATCCTAGAAGCACCATCCATGCAAGTGTAGTACTTATAGGGCTTATACACTACAGTTACTTGGGAATGAGACCTGCATCAAAAACTTTACCCTGTTCCAAAAACTTTAATTGAAACCTGATATAATGAAACATTAGATGCATCATCCATGCAACTCTGATCCATATAGGGCATAGAAATACTTTGGAAGAAATCTTTAACCCGAGATGCCAGTGCTATGGCATAGCATAAGCCCCTCAACCCCACCCCCACTCAACTTCAATAAAGAATGCTATTATAATGGTCAAGTGTTCACCCAGTGAGAAAGAACACATTGTAAATCTTCCTATAGCTGCTATACGTTGCATGATTCATATTATCTATCTTTCCAAGGTGCTCTTTTATCCACAACACTCCCCAGTATTCTTCTTGACATTTATGTTTATCTAAAAGTCTTTGCCTCATAAATCTAACCTCTAGCTGCTGTTATATTGGTTTAAAATTCCTAACTAGTGGTCATTAAAACAACAATAATGCATCACAATCAACAATGACAAATCACTAATGCCTGTATCAGTCTCCCGCCCCAAGTCATCTGTAGCATTTCCAACCGAGAACAGAGAATAAAGTATTAGGAAAGAATTATGGGCAATTTCATAGTGAAAAGATAAATTTATATTATCATTTTTTTTTAAAGGATCTACACACAGGGAATTCAGTGGTGCAATGGTTGCAATGATATTAACCACATAACTTTTATGCTAAATAAATGTCTCTTTTCATTTACTGCTGCAAGGAAAAAAAATTCCACTTTTCCTCCTAGAAACAACACACACTACGAAAAAAATACTTGACACATCATAAAAATAAATATCCCCATGCTATGGATTTATTTCATTAATAAAAAAAATTCTGTAAGGAAATCTGCTCTTAAATAAATGCGATTAGTACATTGTGTTAATTTGATTTATTGATTGTGATGTGTTCATGGCCACCAAGGAACCTTATTTTCTTCCAACCCCTGACAGACTGCAATAAAGCTGTCCACTCTCCTTCTTAATTCAATAAATGATAAAGCATTGATATAAACAACATACCATGAGCCATGCTGCCATTAGTCAAGCTTGGTGTACATAAATATATATATTTGGGTTAAGAATACCCATATATGTAAAAAGAGGGATATAAGTACCTGTTTTGGCTTTAAGAAGGAAAGAAGAGGAAAGTGATGAAAAAAGGCTATATATGTGTGAATTTTCAAATAAAAAGAATACATATGAAAGCCTTCAATTATTTCATGCTTGAAACATACAAGAAAAATCATAGTGAAGAGAAAATTTATAGGTTAAACAAGGAAAGACAGAGATTGTGTGGGTATATATTGGTAAGAAATTCTTCAGAAGGGCAGTTTGAAAAGTTCCAATATCTATAAATGTCAGTGAGAATTTTTTAAAGCATTTCAAAAAATGCATGTTCACATTGAATAAGACATTTTTTAACCCTTGAATTGAACAATAAATTATCAGAATTCCATTTGTCTTACAATGCAGTAATTTTCTCGAATAAAAACTGGGCCTCGTTATAAAAGACAGTTAAGATTTTACTCAATGAATGGTGACTACAGTAAAACATGTTTATAATGAGGTGCTAGGGATGGATGATTGTGCTTCAATATAAGTGTAATTCGTTATATCCATTAGGTTCATCATACAATTTAAAGTCACTTAATGAAAATCACTTCACTGTAAGCATCAATTCATTATAAGCCTGTTCGCTACAAGCGTGTTTTACTATCTATAATTGCTTCAAAATAATGTCAACTGAAGATTCCTAAAGACTTATGTTGTTTTAAAAAACATGAAAAAAAACCCATTATTTCTAGAAAGAGTAATAACTCATTAGAGAACAAAGATAACATATATTCCACACACAAATAAAGACCCCTTCCCATTTTCAGTCTAACTAAATCACGCAGGAAATGAAGCTATTTTTAAAGAGTCTCATTACAAACAAATATTGACACTGTGCGATAAGATGATCTAGCGTAAAAAACTCGTTTGAACAAATGATTTTGATAAAATATATATGAACACCATTGTTAAATCAATACCAAAGCCTGAGGCTTCTGTAATTAAAATCAATAGGATATCTAGATTATAAAACAAGAGGACAATGGGCCACAGTGCTCACATTCCTCTTACCGAAATGTGAATGAAGTATATTAATGATCTGGATAGCCAAAATTATAACTGTTAATACATCCAGTTCATTTTTAAAATAAATCAGGTTTTTAAAAAGAAACTCATTTAAATAGCTACAGGAATAAAACAACAATTTGTTTTGATTTTTTAAAAACACCTCACTGCATGGAGGGTAATTCTGTATCAAATCAAACCATAATATATTTTACAAATAATAAGAAAAAACAGCAAATAGATTTTTTTTTTTGTTGAAATTACTGTTAATTGTAATAAATTTATTAATAATTTCCCCTGGTAGGAAGCCTTACACCTCTTTTCCAAAAATAATCTTAAAATGCTAAACCCCACATATAACTAAAAATAGCCCAGTGGCTCTTGAGAAAAAGTTAATAATTTGAAAGATTATTTATTGAAGTTTGTGGCTCAGGTGAGCTAAAAAGTTTGTCTCCATTCTAATGATGGACATAAAAATTGATTTACAGTGTTATATGTGTCATAACTTGTAATGCATTTATTGATATGGTAACAGATTTTTGCCTGCTCACTGATTTGTGTACGGTACGTTGCAAAAGTCCAAAAGAAAGTTCTAATATTTACATTAACAACAATGACATGCATGACATCTGGACTTCCTATCACAACAATTGCATCTCAGCTGTTACAATACTGATTTTTCCACTGATAATATTGAAACCATGACTGTTACATGGGTAAAGAAGGGGAGACAACACAGGAAGGGGTAACAGGGTATAGCCATGTTTCAGACAAAAAGATGAAACAAAACATGCCAGAAAAGACACTTACAATCTTTGGTTTATAGGGGGGTTGAACCTCACGAAGTTCAATCTTTTCCCAATTGATTCTCTTGAAGAAGGCATGATCTTTGATATCTCTCTCTGCATTAGGTCCACATCCTAACCTCTTGGTTGGATTTTTTGTTAACAGCTAAATATCAGAAAATATGGCATGTCAATATTAAATACTTTTTGTGTCATAAATGTATGCTAGCTATTAAAAACTTACTTGTAAGCCTTCATTCTCCTTGAGAATTGAATATAAGCATGATATTCCTAATTACTATGACAGTACACTTATCGTGATAGTCCCCTTAAATAGATGACCATATGTGAGTTTTACTTTATGTCATGGATATTTGGCCAATATCTAGACACAATGGGTATTCTTACTGCTTTACAAAGGGACACAGCCTCTTTGGACATAGACTTTGGATAGGAGACATTGTGATCTGTTATGGAAGCAAACAATTCCTCCTCATCCTCTCCATCAAATGGTGGCTAAAAGAAAAATTATCCATATAAAGATTGAGATAAGGTGACTTTTGGTTTGTCATCTTTTCTATATTAAATTGCATATTGAATACTTCAAAAAATATTTAAAATATACTCATTTCATCTTTCTCATTTTTTCTTATTGATAAACATCACTCCAAGTGGAAATGACACATTGCCTTATATTATATTCTTAATGTAATGTCCTATCCTAAAAATCTGTGACCTTAACAATTTCTAAAATGCATTCACTCAATAGTCCTAAAAGCTATCAGTTATTTATATTGCTTTACAATAACTCTGTATATGGGTCAAACTTAATATTCCCCTTATCCATTACAAAATACAATGCATAAGCTACTATTTGTCTAAGTGCTACCCAGTGGCGACTAGGAATGAGGGATCTGTCACCCCTACTGGTTCCCTACAGACTTTGTACAGAAGACATAAAAAAAATCCTGAATATATCCATGCATATAGATCACTTACATCCATTAAGCAAGTGTATTTAAAATAGAATCAATTGACAAAATGATAGTTTTCCCATGATCTTGACAAAATAACCAAGTTATCAATTCATAATTATAAGCAATTTTTCTGACACAAAGTGCTTGAACCTTTAAACCTTTCTACATTTGAAAGTTATACCGTACACTGAGAATTTTTATTGTCAAATGTTGACATCAAAAAGAACTGAATTTCCTGCCAAAATGTCTATTTTCTTTATACACAAACTTTTCACTCAATTTGATAAAGCAAGGCTTAGTCATCCTGCAATTCAGATTGTTTATAAATAGACACAGACATGGTAGCTACAAAAGAGTACATTGTCAGGGACATCCCCCCTCCTCTTTTTTTATTATTTTTACCTCTTTCACTCTCGTCTCAAGAGGGTGAATTTAGGATGGAGAAAATTTAAAGAAGATAGCACTATATCTTTAACATAAATATGTATTGGCAAATTTAAAACTGGGAAAAATTGTTTTCAAGCAAGAAAGGGTGAAATTATCGCAAGACAGGGCAAAAATAACTTTGTATACAGTAGTTTGTGAAAACTGTACCTGTCCTGCCAACATTTCATACAAAAGCACTCCATAGGCCCACCAATCCACTGACTTCCCGTATGGCTGATAGAGGACAATCTGAAAAAAAAATTCACGCACACATTTTTATTACAAACAATCAGTAAGGAAAAGATACATCAAGGTTTACAAATACACTACTTTTGTGAATATAAATCACATACTAAAATGGTTTTTGTACTTGATGATCAAACTTCATATCAAGAAATGAATATACTAACAAGGCCATCTCTGGCTAAACTTTAAATCAGTCATTGAAGTTTTGATAACCAATTTATTAAGTCAATTAGCACATAATAGATAAGGAGGAAAAAGATTTGGGTTATACAATGTATTCCGCAAAAGCCATCCAAAAAAGAGGGTAAATTGTAGATATGGAAGGATTTGTGTGTTTAAATATATAAACCATTTAAGACTTAAAATAACAGAAGATGGTTGTTATGTTAGAAGGGGGCATTTACTGAAGCAATTACAGTATTGTGTTTCATAATCCTCCTTTGTTATGTTGGGGAGTAACACATAAATGTTCCAATTTTATCGCCATATTCCAATAGCACTGTAGTCTAAATGACCACAAATAAAGATATTATCTAGAACTTTCCTTTAAGTCCCTATGTTTGTGACTGATCATCAAGCTGGGTTACAATAAAAGTGGGATAATATTCTGTATAATTTTTCAAAGGATGATACCTCGGGGGCAATATAGTCTGGAGTACCACAGAAGGTCCTGGTTGTCTTGTCATTGAAAATGCCTTCCTTACACATTCCAAAGTCTGCAATCTTAATATGGCCGTCAGAATCAAGCATCACATTGTCTAACTTAAGATCCCTGTAATCAAACAATCATTTCAAATAAGAATTTTGTTTTAATTTTCTCCCTTATGTTTTTGATTCTAAATCAATTTATTCTCTGTAACTGTAGATAAGTCTACACTCAATGAATGAGTATGTTCTGTGTGCTATAACTTTCATCAAGCAAATAATTTCAGTTTAGCTAACTGACAATGGACAAAAGTTCATCATATCAAACCTATATACTGTTCCTTGACTATGTAGATAGAACAATCCTATCGCTATTTCAGCTGCATAAAAGCTATAAACAGAAGAAAAAAAAAACATGATCATCAAAATAACGAGACAAAGATCATTACCATGAAAGATAATAAAAGGATTCAAAGATATTAATACTGAGGCACTCTGGGGATAAAGACTATCTTACACAGCCACTGGTTCTTTAAATTTTCCTTCCTGCTGAATTCTGTACATGAGATCTCCACCATTGACGTACTCCATGACAAAGTAGAGACGATCCTGTTAAAGTGATTGAGAACAACACTTAAGCTGTAAGGACAAGAACTGCTTACACAGCAAAGAGCTTAATATTGTTGTTGTTCATGGTTTTTTTTGCAATTCTTAAAGTCTGATACAAATTGAAAATGACAATGAAAGATTCTTTAGACAAGAACATACATGCTTTTTAAACATAGATTTTCTTTTACCAAGAATTTCTAAAGAGAACCTATTTTTTTCTTTCCAAAAGTGCAGTCAAAATGCAACATTGTTGTAATTTTTCCTTGATGTTTATGTATTGTTTTTCTTTAAAAGAAATATCATATACATGAAATTTTTCAGCTAGATTTTTATTTTTATTTCTAAAACAGAACAGGTTGTCTAGATTTTTTCATCCCTAGAATTTTTCATCCCAATTAACTTTAAACAAATATCTTGATACTAAGATACCCAACATTCATCCAACAATTCTCCTTGCTCTTTGTGAACTAGAACTGTCCTAAAGCAACCAATACCCCTGCAAGGCAGCTAGGCAGCTAAAATAAAGGTCCGAATCTTGTAGAAATGTGGTTGGAGGTTGCTAGTCAAAAGCAACTTTTCTGCACGTCAAATATGACCTTTTTATACTCCTCCAACAAAAACTTTCAGTCTTTTAGAATTGGATATTTCTGATATTTTCTAAATTGGACACTTTTCTGAACTTTGTGGTCTTGAATCTTGACTAAATGACCTTTGATCAGGGTCATGTCATATTATATAATCATAATCAACTCTTAGAGCAAGTGTGATCTTCAGAAGTTATTTCATTTATAAAATTATGTTATGGACAAGAATCCATCTTCAAACCCATAGACTTTGAACTTATCCAAATGACCTTGGTGCAGGGTGGTTACACACCCTCTGGTCAAAAGCATTTTATGCGCCTAGTGTGTTTAATTTCCTAATGTTTTTTTTTCTGGACATCAAAACTATGGTTAAGGCAAGAATTTTATATTGGACCTAATGTCCAAGTTACCCTGGTTAGTGTCAGGGGACATCCCTGGAGTCATAAGCAACCTTTTTCTCAGGTTTAAGTCCTACTATTTCTCCATTTCAAAGTTGTGGCTAAAACAATAATTAAATACTTTTGTATCCTGTGACCTTGATCTTGTCCAGATGACCTTGGTACTAGATCAAGGCTCATCTCTGGGCACAGGCTACTTTTGTATTGGGTATGAGCCTATACAGTTTCTTGGTTACAAAGTTGTTACAGACAAGAATTTCATTCCCCTAATTCCTATCAAAGAATTTTTGTACGATAAAATCTTTAAAAGTCATAATTCTTAGAAATTTTTATAAATCAATCTGAAAAAAACAAGATGCTTAAGTTTAAATGGTACATTATATATATTAATTCTAAAGAGATTTTAAAAAATCTATATAGTTTCAGAAATCGATATCTACGGACAGATGGACATGGTGATTCCAGTATACCCGCCCCCCTCCTCACTTTGTTTGCAAGGGTATAAAACGAATTTCTGCAACCATTTGACCTAGCACTAGCCTATCAAATGAGAACTTTTGCTTGCACAGAAATTTGAAAAATTCCTTTTTAAGACAAAGTAAATTCCTAAAGATTTTTCAAAGTAAAAAATAGGTCTACAATAATGGCCGATATTTTGGTCAAGGCAGCAGGCAGATGAAAAATTGAACTTAATTCAAATTCAAAATTTAAAATCTTCATTACACAAGGATACTTCATAATGATTTCAATGACAATCATTAAACTTTTAACCCACCACTACCACTCTCATCAATATTGGACCAAATTCATTTTCTTATCTATGGCAGTCTGGATCAATTTAACATTTCCAAGACCGCAGACAAACATCGTAAACACCATGAATTAACAATGAACTTCAAGACGTTGCTTCTGCATAAGGACACTGACATTTTACAAATATCAATGAACTAATTGCCTTAGTCTGAAGTTCATCTTCGCCTGTTTTCAAGACAATCCCTTACCATGGTTTGAAAGCATGAATGTAATTGGACAAGGAATGGTGGTTTGTTGGGGAGGGCCAGGACACGTTTTTCAATCATTGTACACTCCACATCATCATCCTGTATAATCACGTCTTTCTTTAAGATTTTGATGGCGTACAATTCTTCTGTTCCCTTCATCTCTGCTAAGACAACCTGATTTTGAAAAAAAAGTGTCAACTACTGTAAAACATTTCCATTTATGTATCTCTTAAGTATGTCCCAATGAATTCACTATTGACTAATACACTATATAAAATGCACCTACATAGTAAATATGTAAACACTATACAAAATGTTCCTATGTAATGAATATGTAAATTACTTATTTTAATTTGCATGCCATAATAATGACCCTTCTTTGCACAACCGATTGATTACCATATATATGAATCTAGCTCCATTGTTCATACTAATGTTGTAATAGAAATTACACTTAGCAGAATCTAGGCTCACAATTAAGTAAAAATTTGGTGTTTAATTTTTTTAATGATCAAAATCAAAATTATTATCACTCTGGTTAATTTCACACCAGTTACGTATTTTTCACAAAAGATGCATTATCAAAACACACTAAGACATTTACTCTCTAAGATGTGCTCCTTTCCCATTATTGAAAGATCAATAAAGCCACATGTTGGTCACTGTGATATTTTGTTTTCCTTGATCTTATCCACTGCAATATTAACAGCAATTTTATTAACCTTATAATCCATCTTCCTTGCCTAATGACCCAAAATGCTTTTAATATTTTTGATAAATCGAACCATTGCTCATTTAATTCATCACCGCAAAGAATAATTTCTAAGTACAGCTGTACTTCTGCACAAAGCTTTATAATCTATACTTTTGGAGATTTTGATATTGTATTAAATTAATCAATTTGAATGCATATATAGCAGATGGTGCCATGACTTCTTTTTCTCTTAATTGATTCTGCACAAATAAGTTAAATGTAGTCGTCATGTGATTTATTAGAATTTTCCCCACAGCCCATCATGTGTCAATATACGTTAAATGCATGACTTCTTGGTGGGTTAGTTCCGCACATCTTGGGAGCATTACACAACCAAGTGAGAAGCACAATAAATGCAATCTAAAATTGATTCAATGAAACTAAAAATCATTATCACCGCAACGTGTGAAGTCACACTGTAGGCAGATGATTATTTACCACTGCTGGAGACACTCCGGAATCGGGGAAACTGATATATATGAAATGCACAGATAGGATAATGATATTGGAAGCGTTTTGTGTTTCACACACCAAAATAGCTGCATGAAACTATTCCTGGGAGATGAAAATTCAAAACCAGGATCTCATTTCCGATACCGATACAAACCTTGCATAATTTTACATCTTTGTTTCTTTTTTAAGTGATGTGTTATCTTCCCAAAACTACACCAGCTTTAAAATGTGCTAATATTTCTGTTGTTCCTAAATAAATTTCATTATGACTGTTGAAAACAACCCATCCCTCATAATAACATACCAGAGTATTAGCATCTTTGTACTAGGAGACACTTTGCTTCTATTTAGGGATGACAGAACCATGTTAATTTCCTCAACCAAATTATAGCTTTAGTTGGACAGAAATAAAGTGGTAAAGCAACATGCTCATTATTTGTTGACCATTATGCTGTATTTGTAACACTGATGGACAGATGCCAATTGTGTTCAATTCATCAGATTCATAATCAGTGATTTCTATGATTTCAAATACTATCTACAGTAGCATCCACTTTACACTGCAGGGACCAACCTAGGGGGCGACTGAGGCGAAATAGTCGCTTTTGAGCTCCAAACTTCGCCGTAATTTATCACGAAAGAGAAGTTTAAGTCGCCTTAACATTTGCAACCCTTTTATTGAAAATCTTAAAAAATCTATTAAGAAACGTGGTAGTATCATCACTATTTTATAGATATGGTTTTATTACTGCTGAAATAAGTGAAACAGCAGGGCACTTGCACCTGTTTTGCTACTAATGACCAATGCATCGATAACTCTGTCGGAACTCCTCTAGATTTTACTCTTCCATGTATGAAAAAGTCCATTGTTACAAGTTATACACAACAAGACGCAAAACAGCTGGACAGCTATCGATGTCATGCCAAAGATGTTGGAGATAATGTTAGATCTTTTAATTGTCAAATAATTAATACATGCTCTGAATACAGACATGTATATTTTTACTGTTAAATTGTGGAGTTATTAACTGTTTAAGAAATTACACATGTCTGATAAACATAAGTAGTTCAATTGGCATGCAGTAGTGCATCAAAACTTTATTTAGAAAAAGAATTTAGTATTGATCAATTTTGAATAGAAAATAACAAAATTCAAGAGTCTGAAAATCTAACCCTGATCTAACCATATTTTGCTAGATATTTATATACCTTGTAATTGGAAAAATATAAAGTTTTTTTTTTAATTTTTTTAAAGAATCTTTTTTCTTTTCTTTTTTTAATTATTTTTACTAGGATGTTTAAATAATACAGAAAAAAATTATTGAAATGTATTTAAGTAATAAACAATGAAATGTTTTTATTTTTAAAAAGTTTAATAATGATCAATGTGCACCATGCGCACCAAGAAGTCTCCTTAGAATTCAAAACTTCTCCCTACATTTCTCTGAGGGAGAAGTGAAGTCTTCCTAAATTTTGGTTCTAGGTTGTTCCCTGTACAGTTTTGTGTTTCTTTCTTCTAAACAAAGGTCACTAATAGATCAAAACATATTATCCAAAATATTACAAGAATAAACTGATAATACTGGGTGTTACAAACATTTACTTTACATTTTTTGGGATCAAGAACTGTGCTCATATTTTAATTTCTTGTTGTATCTATCATTCTGGGATACAGAAGGAGTGCCCAATCTGGTGTACCATCAATAAAACCTCATTTTTGACACTAAAAAAGATTCACAATATTGTTTTTTTTTTGTTTTTGTTTTTTTTTTTTGTTTTTGTCTTCCTTACACAGAAGATTCAATTTTTGACACAATTAAATATAATTCAAAATTTTTAAAAATATACTGATCTTCTTTCCACCTGCAAACACATACATTTACATACAGAAAATGGTAGCATTGTCCTTGTAAGCTTCCATTAAGCAAATAAACAATTCATGTAAAGAGTACTGAAGAACCATATATACCTTTCCAAAACTGCCTTTCCCTAGAACTGTTAAGAAATTGAAGTCTGTTGCTCGAACTGTGTCCTGTTTGCTGCCAGTTCCCCGTGACACATCAATTTGTTGGGGTGGTGGTTTCTAATACATAAATCAAGGTATATACAGATTACATTTATAAGTTAGACATGGCTATAGTGAACAACCTTATGATGGATTCACAATTACAGTAGAGTGATTTTTATTCCCTGTGGTTTTAAAATATAATATTAACTTATCAGATATAACAAATTACTTTTAATATAATGAATCAAAAATGTTTGTCCCTGGCACTTCTCTATAAGTGAGAGTACTATATTCATAAAAATTCTGGGTGATCAAAGCTGAAGTGATGCTTTGTAAGAAACAAATTAACTTTGTTTTAGATTAATTTACTGAAGAGTCTATGTGTTACAAGAAATATGGCTGTCATGTAAAGTTAGCCTAGTTCTGAATTCTACCATAGAGGACATGGGTAAAAATTTAAGTATACAATGAAAGAAAAAGCTAGAGATAAGTCTACACAGTGTTCACATTGCAAATTTTTTTTTACTTGATCTGAATTACTGTTATAAAGCAATGAAATAGTTATGTCTTTAATAATATTTTTGTTTATCAAGCTGTTACAATGTATATTTTTGAAATAGCAAAAATATATGACAAAGAATACAAATTTTAGTCATGATTGAGTAGAAATGTTGTATATTTGTAGCATATATGTATTCCTTATTGTGAACTTTAAAGGTTGGAGATACTATACTATCAGATGTAAGTACTACACATTTTTATCTATACATGTACAATGGCAACTGGTTTTGTGCAGTTACCTGAATATCTGCAGGTAACTGAAAAGAAATTAGTTTCCACATTTCACTTCAAAATGCAAGTACAGTGCAAGAATACTACTATACTGGAAATATTTTCTGTGAATTCAGGGTTAGAAACTCCCTAAAATTACAACTCGCAAATAATTGCGAGTACCAAGAAAGTGAACTCGCAATTTTATAAGACTACTCGCAATTTTCATATAAAGTTAAATATATATAAATTAAATACATGTAACTTAAGGAAAAAGTAACTACTGTACAATACACAAAATACAGCTACAGGGTGACTTTTATTTAAATTAGTGATTTAAATCAAAAGCATTGTGTGTTGTCATATTATATAATTTTGCTACAGTTTCAATGCAAAAAAAATCAACTCGCAAGTTTTCGCGAGTTACCTAATTTTTAACTTGCAATTTCAGAATTCTAACTCGCGTTTTGCGAGTTGTATATAGTGAATTTCGAACCCTGGAATTCCTCATTATAATGAATTACAATAGTAGTTTTTGGTTATGATTATGTATTTCTACTGTGGGGTTCTTGAAGTTCAGAATTGTTTATTTCTCCTTTTAGCTGGAGATCCTTTGTATCTGTTTATCAGATATGAAATCTTTCATACCAATGGAATTTAAGTCAGCATACAAAATCCAAACAATAAAACTTCCACATAAATTATGTGTAATGCAGGTTCATATACAAATAAGCTTTGAAAATAATCATACATGTATTTACACAAATCAAGGGAACTCTTTTCTGCAGCTTTTAATGTTTTAGCATAGAAATATAATGAAAGCATTTGCCATTTGTTGTGTATGACATTGTTTTCTTGAACAAACTTGCAAAATTGATAGAAACTCTGTTTTCCAAAGAACCTACTGGTAAAGTTTTCCTAAGGTCATTAATGGTGGCTATTGCATCATCGGTCACAGGGATGCCATAGAATTCTCCCTCTTCCTGGCTCAGTAGTTTGAACCAGCCATCTTGGTTTTCCTTCAGAAGTTCTGAGATCCCAAAAGACAGGGAGCCCATGAAGTCGTTCCTGGACGTTCTGTCCCAATCCCAAACCTCCACAGAAAGTCGCTTGGAATGGTCATCAGGGGAAAGGTCACTGAAATTTAAGAAGAGGTTTGAAACCATACATACTGAATTATGTTTATAACAAATCAAAACTGGTTGTTCCTGGGAACTTTGCTACAAGGGTGTTTCCCTGTATTCACATACCTGTAATTATTAACTTATTTATCACCAAGATTATCAGTATTAAAAACAACACTGAATATAAAATTCAAAATGTACTTGGATCATTCTTGCTGCCTTGACATTTTTTATAAACTATCAGATAGAGTTTCTAATTTTTAGTAATTTTCAGAATTACTCCATGTCTAAAATTTTGCATTAATGCCAACCCATTCTATTTTCAGTTTGCTGCAAGTGGTTTTTCTCCTCTGAGGTCAGCAAGTTTCTATTACATGCAATCACAATAACTATATAAATTTGAATTGGATTTGCAAGCATTGTACTCAATGCAATCAATATAAAATTGTTTGTTTTCATACCCATGTGCTCATCCTTAAAGAATTAATCTTCACAGCAATTATAATGTGTTATTTTTCTGTGTATTAAGCATTGCACTGATCAATGTGGATTAGTGCAAAGAATGTAATATTCTCTATGGATATAAGTACAAAGAACTACAATGCTATTTTTTCATACTAACATATAATTCAATTAACATGTCTGTCAAGAATGCATTATCCAAGTGGTGCAGAAGAAACATGCTGCCTTGGAAAGGCTTTTGACAAACCTTCCATTATCTGTCTGATATTTTAACTCTCTCATCAACAACTCTCAAGTGTGCTTCTTTTATTCAAGTTTCAAGGATCATACACTTTGCATTACAACACTGCATCAAGTCCCGATCAAAGCATCTTCACGGGAAAATATGACGGATTGATGATGCTTCTCAGAACTATGACTTAATCCTCACAACTTTCCAGACTACGAGATGTCTGCCTCCCCCACCTTAGCTTCGAAATCAAGATAAATGCTTTATGGGAAATAGAACATTTTATTAAAGAGTCCTTATCCATTATCAAGAAAACAAGAAATATGGAACTGTAGAAATGTCTCCTTAAATTGCACAGAATATGACAAAGAAAAGGAGTGTGGGTGTTAAGACTTTAGAAACTTTAAAGATGACAAATGGCAAGGGCATAATGGATTTATGTGTGGGGAAAATTTAATTTTTGCTTTAACATTTGCATTCATTCTTATGTTAAAAAATAATTACTGTTTACAGATCCGAGAGAGCCAGCTAAAAATATTATAGTTGATCAGTGACACTTGACTCACACTGTCTGATGCAAAGTGTACTTATTACCAAACAAACTCCATGGCAGAGGTAACAGATTACATCTCATCATTGCCAATGGGCAAGATAGGATTAAGCATTTTACTCTGATGATGAGAAGAATCTCTTATAAATGCTTGGGGGAAAAAATCTTGGAAAAGTTTGTCTTGCCATGCAAGTTGATCATATCCTCTGATACTCAGTGACTGCTTTTTCATGACCCCAACCATCAGTTAGTGTAAACTAGTCACCAAGATGGACGATTTTGTGCCTGATTGCTCATCTAATACCCTTTCTCATTTGATTGAAGCATGTATAATGTTGTGAGAGGTCACCATTCAGCCATTAATTATGATTTACTATTAAATCCTCTTTCTCACAGTTTACAACAGTGATGAACTTACAATGTGAAAGTTTCGTTCCACACAGGGTTTAAGGTGGCTTTGATGGTCTTGGTTTTCTTTTTTGTTTTGTTATTGTCGTCTGGAATAAGTTTCACTTTAACATATGGATCTGCTAGTCCATTTGGATCCATTGGTATTAGGTTTTTTCCTTCTAAAACTGAAAAGAATTTTGAGGTTATCATTAAAAGAGCTTTTGCATGAAGTTGATCTGAAGCAAATTATGAGAACATTCCAAGTATAATTAATCAGTTGTTATTTAAGACAGTAGTCAGTATCCTTACTTCTGAAAGAATTTGAGGAGAATTGAGACGAAGGCGAAGCAAAACTCATTACCTTAGTATTTATTTATTTACTGATATAACAGATTTGCTGAGACTATGGTGACTGCTGACTAACTATTCTTAGGCCATGAAAGTTGTTTCTAGTCATATTTGGACAAGTTTGTAAAATGAGCTTGTTGTTGCTTGGGAGTTATATATAATAAGCTTATGGTAAATGTGCTCAAGTTAGCTGTCAGGACTTATTTTATGTAACTAGCTTGGTGGTAGTTTTAATAACTTTGAGCTTTATTAGTTTTGACTTACTTTTATATAACTAACTTGGTAGTAGTTGTGGTAATTTTGAGCTTTATTAGTTTTGACTGAGTATAACTTGCTTGATAAAATTTGTCGTAATTTTGAGCTTTATTAGTTTTTGACTATGTATAGCCTGCTTTAATAGTTTTGACTAACTTTTTTGAATCACTAGCTTGGTGGTAGTTATTGTAATTTTGAAGTTTTTATTAGTTTTGACTTATTTTGTGCAACTACCTTGGTGGTAATTTTAAGCTTCATCAAATTTGACTTACTTTGTTTAACTAGCTTTGTGATAAATGTGGTAATTTTGAGATTTATTAGTTTTGACTTACTTTTATATATCTAGTTTGATGGTAGTTGTGGGAATTTAAGCTTGATTAGTTTTGACTTACTTTATATAACTAGCTTGGTAGTAGTTGTGGTAATTTTGAGCTTTATAAGTTTTGATTGACTTTCTTGATTGGCTTTCACTAGCTTGGTGGTAGTGGTGGTAATTTTGAGCTTTAATAGTTTTTACTTACTTTGTATAACTAGCTTGGTGATAGTTGTGATAATTTGAATTTATTAAATTTGACTTACTTTGTATAGCTAGCTTGGTGGTAATTGTGGTAATTTTGAGCTCTATTAATTTTGACATTTTGTTAACTACCTTGGTGGTAGTTACGGAAATTTTGAGCTTTATTAGTTTTGACTTACTTTATATAACAGCTTGGTGGTAGTTATAATAATCTGAATTTATTAAATTTGGCTTACTTTGTATAGCTAGCTTGGTGGTAATTGTGGTAATTCTGAGCTTAATTAGTTATGATTTATTTTGTTAACTACCTTGGTGGTAGTTATTATAATTTTTGAGCTTTATTAGTTTGAAGACTTACTTCAAGTAACTAGCTTGGTGGTAGAAATGGTAATTTTGACTTTTATTATATTTTACTTACTTTGTATAACTAGCTTGGTGGTAGTTGTGGTAATTTTGAGCTTTATACGGCCTCTCCTCTCTGTGTGATCTATACCACAAAGTTTTGGAACATTCTTCTCACATTTCTTGTGTACATTCATGTCACATGCTGTATAAAAAGAACAATTTTTTTTATTCAACACATATGCATGACATCATCTGAAAATTCAGTGCAATAATAAGTGTTTTTGTTGCATAAATGTGTTTACATCAATTCAAACACTTTTATTGGTTACACATTGTTTTTGAATTTTACAATTTTGACAGAGGGCAAAATATTTATCAAAATCATGGAAAATTATGCCTATGAGTAGAAATGTGAAGAATTTCAAAGATGTATTTTCAATGTATGACCAATTAAGCACCACTCCAAGACCTGAACCATGGACCTAGAGGCCATGAATACATGAATCACAATTTTGGTAAAAGGTTGAGTACTCATTATTTCCTTGCAAATAGTTTGAATGCTAGATGTCCAAGAGTAAAGATGATTTTTATAACAAAAAATTCATTTCTATATATGACTAACTAAGCCCCACCCTTGACCCAGGGACCATGAATTTCACTATTTTGGTAAAGGGCTCATGGCTTATTGTAATCAAATCAACAGTTTGCCTGCTTTGTATAAAGGCTGAGTAAAGAAGATTTTTGAAGATTGCATTAAATTTAATGGTTTGAGCCCTGTCCCTCATGCCCAAGAGAGGCAGGGACTATAAAATTCAGAATTTTAGTTCACCTTGACCCATAGATGCTCACTTACCAAAAACTGGTTGAAATTGGTTCAATGGTTCTTGAAAAGAAGCTGAAGCTGAAGAAGCTGAATATGTTCAAAATTTCCTCACAATACACACTGACAGACAAAAACAGATAGCAACAGGTCATTGGAGTGACTCAGGTGATCTAAAGATCCTCATACATATATAGTTACTCTCTAGTGAACTCTTCTTTATACCATCTTCCTCACATAATATTTGCTTAGATAATATCTTCATTCTATGTTCTTGCAAATATGAAACAATTTACTCACAATACACAGACCTATCATTTTATGAATGAAGAGACATTTACTTGCAAATGAATGGCATCTCCAGTAGAAGACTAATTAACAATTAGTCCCATAAACACTTGGTGAAAATAGCACTTTACTGTGTCTGCCTTTGTCTCTGTGAACCATCTAATATGTCTAAATCATATTAGCAACCAAGGGAAATAGATGATTATGGTCTATTTTCAGTCTAAGAATCTTTATTAGCTATTTTTCACTGGAACAGCTGCACTAAAGCAAAGGAAATCCATCAGTCTATGTACTGAGGTAATGGACACATGAAGCTGAATGCACTAGGTTTTCTAGGTCATTTGGACAAATCTGTAATGAGGCTGACCTAATTATCTAATATGATTGATATGATTTATAACATAACATATTAAAAGCTATCAATGTCTGTTCTTCTCCCATTGAGCTACAGATTTCAAAGAATACTGTATTCAGGAAAATTTTCAACTTCGATTTATTTTTCCCCCTTTCGCCTTCACATATTGAGTGGGCAAATTTAAGACTGCATGGGCAAATTCAAAGAAGATATCAATATTCAACAGTACTGTATCTGGGCAAATTTAAAACAGGGCAAAATTGTTTGCAAGTGTGACAGGGCAAAAATAATATGGGGTGAAAATACATGCAACTCTTTTTAAATCAAAAACTTTTGTTAACACTCTACAGGCAGTGCCCTACGTTTCATGCAACTTTACAATGCTACATTTCACATGATCGATGACTGCAAAACCCAAAGAGAAATAATTTATAATAAAATTTAATCAAATAGGAATAAGTAATGGATGTATCATATTCATTTAAGAATGTATATCCTTCAGTAAGATATTATACAGTAATCTACCCCCAAGACACAGCAAATTCCAAACCACAGCAAATTCGTATGTTTTTACACTAAAATGTACAACACAGCCATCTGTTGTACTAATCCCCATCAAGGGATGACAACCACTGAAATTCAACGGGATGATAGGTATCCTTTTGGAACCTATTGACACTAATGATGACAATATGACATTGATTTAACAGCTTTGGAAACACTTTTAAAAAAGCACCGAGCTATTGATAAGAGCTAAATGATTAATGAAGCATCCAAGCAGATAATGATGCTGAATGCAGAATACCTATTGCAAAATTAATGTAATTGATTTGTCATTAACACCAGCATTTCCTGTTTTAACGCAAATATCTTTAATTACTTGTCAATTATTCAGAAGGAGACTGGATAGATAATGAGTCTTCTAGAGCAGAACTGGTGTTTTATTTCCAATATCAATTAACCAACAAGAGATACTTTGAATTTTTGTCAATAAATACCAAGACCTCTTGATATCACACTCAATAAAAGATTTAATGTATCAATACTAGAATTTGGATTCCCAAACAATGGAAACTTGAACATTTGCTTTCAATGATGAAAGATTTAACTGATAGATTGTCCTTTAATTGAATTTTCATGGGATTGCCATATAAGAGTATAATTTTTGAAAATGCATAAAAAAACATCTTTAAATGTAAATGTACGTCTCCATAAAATCCTGGTGTCATAAAAATGTGTCAGGGTATTGCAAGATATTACTGATTCTTATCTGCTTTTGTATCTCTAGAGTTGCATATGGATGGTCATGCAATGTGATCATGAACTTCAATTTCTAGACTCTTTAAACCTTAGAGTACACAAGAGTTCAACAGGAGTTATTATCAGACAACAGAGCCTGAAGTCAAATTTCCTTTTTTATAATCATGACCTTGACTCAAGGTAAACCTGATTGGACTGTGTGCTAATTGGGTACCATAAAAATAAGAAAACCCTGTATCATAAAGATTTAAACTTATAGTGGACCCTCAGATATCCAGATGCTTCAGCTTCCAAACATTTTCTTGGGAATAGAATTTTTCCACATCATTTTTAATCGTTCATTTGGATTTCTCTGTTCCAGATGTGAAAGTTTTTTTTGCCACCCATTAGTTTTACATTATATTTTGGTTCACTTATCCAGATGGTAATTTTAATTGCTTTGTTGACTCTGGTCAACTTCCCTAAGCTGGGTGTTAATTGCTGGCCTAAGTGTCAGTTTTTAAAACATGATTACCTGTGTCCTGTAAACAATGACTTGCTGCTATTTTAATTATAAGGTGTTTTTTGATATGTACACCAGACTCTCACTTTTCTGACTTGTTTAATTGCACTACTCTATTAATTAGAAAACATTATTACCCCCCCCCCCCCACCCCCCTATTGTTTGTATGTAAAGTTGCATGGTACTTTTTTTAGCAAATGGGGAATGGAGAAAAAATGACAAGAAATGCAGTGAGAACAAACAACATTCTAGTCCAGTGGTTCTCGAAAATCACTCATGATTTGAATAATTTAGAATCTACACTACCGAAGAACCTTTCACATAAATTTCACCATTTCTGGAACAGAGGTTCATGAGAAGATTTTTTAAAGACCCCACCAATTTTTTTCCTTTTCTTGATTTCTTCCCTTGGATGATCCTTAGCTCTTCATTTGAACAATTTAGAATCCCCTAAAGCCAAGGATGCTTTGTGCCAACTCTTGTTAAAATTGGCCCTGTAGTTCTTGAAAAGAAGTCAAAAATATAAAAAGTTAACGGATGGATGCTGGACAAGTGGTGATCAGAAAAGCTCACTTGAGCTTTCACTTCAGGTGAGCTAAGTCAAACTCAAGAAATAACATTCTATAATTATATGAGTGAATTTATTTAACATTTAATGATCCAGAATATTTTGAAGGGAATTAAAGCGTTCTGGATAAATGAGGCTCCACTGCATATGGAACTTAAAAACACACACCTAGAGTCACAGATGACAATACTCATAGCAAAGAGTGTCAGAAATGTAATTTACCATTATTATCTACCAAGATCACTTTTGTAACCTTCCACTCTACAACATAAGAAATTCTTACACTTGCTTCAGTTGTGCAAGATTTATTTAACAGATCTAGATGCCCATTTTTTCTCAACTTTTTTTTTAAAACTACATATGACACCCATGGGCCACAATGCTCACCAGAGTCATTATGGCCCTCCTGTTTTTCAAATTTTTTCCCCATAAATTCCTATGTAAAACTTTGATTGCATGCCTATTGTGGCCCCTACACCCGAGGGTCATGATTTGAAAAAAAAACCCTTCAATCTACACTACCTGAGGATGCTTCCATATCTATATGACTAATCATGCATATGCTGTTCTTGAAAATAAATTTTTTATAAATGTTTTCCCAATATATTCCTTTGTAAAAGTTTGATCCTTGAATCTACACTATGTAATGAAGATTTCACATAAGTTTAAACCTACTGGCCCTGTGTTTTTTGAGAAGAAGATTTTTAAAGATCTTTTCCTGTATATTCATATGTAAAACTTGATTGCCTATTGTGACCCCACCCTACCCCTTGGGATCATGATTTCTACACTATATAATAAAGGTTACACATAAGTGTCAACTTCCCTGGCCCAGTGGTCCTTTAGAAGATTTTTGAAAGATGCTATTAAATTTTCACTAGTTCTTTTTTATCTTTCTTGAACAAGAGGCCCAAGGGCCTTAACGGTCACCTGAGTAAAACAATTTAGAGGATCCATAAACTGATAAATGAAGCTTTAATTGTTACCCAATAGCAAGAAAATTAGTATGATTAAGATCAACAAAATAATTGGTCTAGTATCTTTCTATCTGCCCCCCCCCCCCCCCTTTATCACTATTACCATGCAGACTTTTAACAAAATGTCTACATTATAACCCCTCACATTGGCCTCACTTGGCCTTTGAAGAACATTTAAGAAGATAAGTTATTTTTGTTTCATTTTTATTTATCTATTATTTCCAAGTCTACCTGATTATTAAAACTATGAAAGTACTTCTTATATTATACAATAAATGTTCTTGCATAATTCTCTTATTCTATTAACCTTTCAAATACATTATCTACAGTGATTAATTATCAAAAGTGAATGGCAAAGGGGAATAACTTCACTCAATAGAATACAAATTAATAGAGCCCTGGCCAGGACCAGAACACTTGACTAAATGGTCCAGATGTTGAAAATTTATAAATTTGGAAGAGGTACCCTCATCATCATAACTATGCAATTAGTTGAAGATTTTCAAAGAATTCACACATTTTCACTATATTATCAATAGAGCCCCCCCCCCCCCCCCCCCAGAGAAACAACAGAACCCCTGGGACCACAAGTTTTAAAAATTTTGTAAAAGCATCCTTGCTCATCATAACTATACACTTGTTTCTTTGCTTTATAACCAGGAGTAGAAAAAAATATTTTAAAGGAAATTATGAATTTCACTATATAATCAATAGAGTCCCCCCCCCCTTCACCAGAACCCCTGACCCAGGGGCCATGAAATTCACAATTTTGGACGAGGCAGCCATGCTCATCATAACAATGTACTAAGTTACTTTATTTCATACCCATGAGCAGAGAAGGTGATTTTGAAAGATAAAATGCATTTTCACTATATAATCAATAGAGCCCCGCCCTAACACCAGAACCCCTGACCCAGGGGCCATGAAATTCACAATTTTGGAAAAGACAGCCATACTCACTATAACTATGTACTAAGTTACTTTATTTCATACCCAGGAGCAGAGGAGAAGATTTTCAAAGATTTAATGCATTTTCACTATATAATCAATAGAGCCCCACCCTAAAGCCAGAACCCCTGACCCAGGGGCCATAAAATTCACAATTTTGGAAGAATAAGCTATGCTCATCATAACAATGTACTTAGTTAATTTATTTAATACTCATGAGCAGAGAAGAAGATTTTCAAAGATATAATGCATTTTCACTATATAATCAATAGAGCCCTGCTTCATATACTGGGGAGAAAAGAAGATTTTTAAATAATTAATGCATTTTCAATAGTAACAATCAATAGAGCCCTGCCCTGACAACAGAAACCCTTGACCCAGGGGCCATGATATTCACAATTATGGAAGAGGCACCCTTGCTCATCATAACTATATACTTGGGTTATCTGTTACCTAGGAGCAGAGAAGAAGATTTTCAAAGAAATAAAGCACTTTTACTATATAATCAATAGAGCCCCCCCCTTCCTGCAGAACCCCTCACCCTGGGGCCACAAATTTCATAATTTTGGAAGAGGCACCCTTGATTATCATAGCCATACACCTACTATATCTGATTTACATACAATGGGAGAGAAGAAGATTTTTAAAGAATTTATGCATTTTCACTATATGACTATTAGAGCCCCACCCTAACTCCTGAACCCCTGACCCTGGGGCCATGAATTTCACAATTTTGGTAGAGGGCTCAATGCTCATTACAATCATGCCAACAGTTTGACTGCTTGATGTCCAGGAGGAAAGAAGAAGATTTTTAAAGATAGCACTAATTTTGATGGTTTTAGCCCCACCCCTCAGGCCCCACGGGGGCAGGGACCATGAAATTCACAATTTTTGTACCCCTTCATCCGTTGATGCTATATGCCAAAATTGGTTGAAATTGGTTCAGTGGTTCAAGAGAAGAAGCTAAAAATGTTCAAAAGTTTACGACCGACGCACGTCGCACGACGGACGACGACGGACGAAAACAGATAGCAATAGGTCACCTGAGTGACTCAGGTGACCTAAAAAGGGTGTGGACCTTCATTTGAATAAATTTGAATCTCCTTTGCCCAAGGATGCTTTGAGGCAAGTTTGGTTTGGTTGAAATTGGTCAAATGGTTCTGGAGAAGAAAATGAAAATGTGAAAAATTAACAGACAGTTAGACAGATGGATGGATGGTAAGTAGACATACTTTGATCATGAAAGCTCATTTCAGCTCAGGTGAGCTAATAAAAAAATAGCTTTGCTTGAAGATTTTTACCAAGAACCCTTAGTGTGAGGTATAATAACATATTCAAAAGAAACACATGAAATTCAACATTTGTGCAAATAATTTAAAGGATCTTAAATAACTTCTTTCAATCCTTACATCTCTGGCAATCACTTTTAAATTATATGTTGAAGACAACACCTGCATGTACTACATTTTGGAAACTCCTTTGATCACAGAATCCAAATGCTGCAATTTGAAATTGATCTCTCCTCCCTCCCCCACCAAAGATGTCAACAACTTTTAAAATGGATCTCAGAATAGATGAAACATCATGGTTGGAAATAAATAAAATAAATTTGATAAATGAAATGAATTGAATTATTTACAGATCCTGCCAATTTGGACAGAGAAATATTATACAGTTGTAGTAACTGCAATGATAGAAGTATATTGTACTACAAAGAAATCCCAAAGGAAGAACCCATTAGAAAGCTTGTTAGAACCTCAATCTTTAAAGCTAAAGTTAATGTCTAAATCTTCGGAAAGATTAACAGGAGCCTTATGCTCCACATCTCTCACTTCATGGATCTACTGCAGCTGCAACATAAATTAAACTATCTGACATTGATTAAAATGTTAAAAGCTATCAGAGGTGTCTTTTTTTTTTTTTTTGAATTTCTATTTGCATGTTTGGTAAATGCTTGCTTCTTCAATGAGTATCTCCATACTACAAAAATGTTAGGTGAATTAAGTTTGACCATAAAATTCTTGATCCATCAATTTTTTCATAATCAAAATCTCAACAAAATATCAACTGTAATTTCGGCAGTCTGACTTTTCTTCTTTAAAATGAGCAATTTGATCAATATCCTTTTTCTGTTCCTACCAAACTAGTGGTAGACAAATGCAATACTACAAATTTAAAACATCCAGACAGTATACATTAAATTTCTAACCAGAGTTCAAGACAAGGATGACAACTTAAGTATAAGTGGATTGGTGCAAATTCCATAATCCATGGAGAGTCCAAAAATGAAGTGCTCTTCAAAAATTTTCCCATACGGAAGTATTTATAAGAATGTATGACCAAACTAATGATTTTTCGCTAACCTGACCAATGAACATGTGAAATACTGTTCATGCAGAGCAATTTTCCTCAGTTTTATTTCAAATTCACATGTTTAAAATATATTCCATAATTTATCAATTTTACATTACCCAAACTTATCATTGAATACAAATTTGACCATAGGGGATCACATACAATATGTGCTCTGGTTGCAAAACCCAAGTTACAATTTGAAGATCCACACTATAAAATATATATACTGAAATGCAAAAGAAACACAACAAGCAGTACAAATATTTGAATTTTTTATCTAATGATTTTTAAAAATGAATACACTAAGGTAAAACTCAATTTAAAACATCAGAGATTTCATAAAAATGTTAAATGATTATCTTTTAACTTTAGAAAGTAACACATGACTGTTAAAACACCCCCCACCCCGGCCATTCAATTGCAGCGCGCAAGACTGTCATGCACAACAATTACAGCTTGATTTCTACAATGCAATAGGCTCATCAATCTTGAGACCTGAGCGAAAGAAATATCCTTTGCCATTTTTAAATGCCTGTTTTTCAGATGTTGAGGTCAAATTTTCTCTAGTCTATCGCAATGTAGTAACCCTTGGACTTCCGGCCCAAGGACTGTCATTCTTGCTAATGATACGTAAGAGTCTGCTGAGCCGTGATGTTGTGCATATTTGCATCTGCAACTCTCCATCACCTTTATTTTGAGATTTTCCAGCTAGAGCAATGGAAATGTGTACTTAAGTCATTTTCAGGAAGCCTTGGCATCGATTACGGAAAAGAAAGTAGAATTTATTTTTCGGAATATTGCTGCATTACTTATGATTAACAGATACAACCCCTTAAAACCCCATATTATTGCCAAATGTTTTGTTATACATACAATTTTTTATTTTTGTTAAGCGGACTCGAACTTAACTTCCGGTAATGGTATAAAAAATCATTCAACCGTTAAATTACCGATATTTACAAAGTTGAAGATGTCCTAACTTTTTAGATACAAAATTATATTCAATATATAATATTTTCCCCTGAAATAGGATGTTGCGTTTCTTTTGTGTTTCAGTATACTTTAACTCGTGAACTTACCATCACACTTGAGTCCTTGGTGTATAAGTCCATAGAGAAGTGACCCACAATGGTCACAAAATGTAGGGCTTCCATATGTGTGTGTTTTAAATTTATGCAAGTTTGTGGCCTGCAAGATAAAAACAATGTCAAATTACATTTTATGATACTTTTTACAATATTTTCAGTCATTCAGAGATTACCTGGTATACAAATGGCAACAATTACAATTAACATTAAAAACTAAACAATAAATTCAAATGTTGTGCTTTTAGGAATCAGAATGAGATTTCAAACACATTCCTCTATAATTAAGCAAACTAAGACTAATGTTTACTCAAAGAGAAATTGGCTCAATATTGTAGATTATTAAGTTATGATATGAGAGAAGCTGGTCTTTTGAGTGCAAGAGTCTGGATCATGGCTTTGGTATGTTTCATTTCCTTCAACAACTACCGATGAGCTTATCAAATCACAGATGAGAACCTAATAACTTAAAATAAACTGTATCTTTAAAACACAAATGATGTCTGAACTTTAAAAGAAAATTATGCAATCACAATACATGTATCATACTTCAGACCTACTGAAACATTATATTATATACTACATTCATTTCAATACTCCAGGTAGCTTCTGAACAATGCTCTGCTGATATTTTGATCATCATTCCACAAAGAAAGCTTCCCTTGCAAATGTCCAGCAACCAGATCCAGCAACCAGATCGACAAGGAAAATCAATCAAAATAACCACTGTTATGCTTTGTTTTGTTTAACAAGGAATATCTACCATTATCATAAAAAAAATTGTAGAAGTACTTTTTTCTGTGTGGTATTAATTTATGCTTAATAAAATACACAGTCACAAATTTTCCGCAGAAATTTGTCCCAGCATATAGTAAATTTAAGGAATATCCCTGACAGTAGCTATTTAGACTAGAAATATGTCCATAGGACATGAATGCCCCGCCGAGGGTATATTAGTAATGCAACATTTTAACACAAATTGAGAAAAGTGAGGTCAAGGTCAAAGGAAAGGTAAAGGTAAAAAAACATTGATGCAGTTGAATAGCTCTCATCGGTATGTATCAGCATATGAAGTTTGAAACTAATTTAAGAAAAGTGAGGTCAAGGTCAGAGGAAAGGTCAAGGTCAAAAAATGTTGATGCAGTTGAAAAGGTTACATCAGTATGTATAAGCATATGAAGTTTGATGAAAATATTATGAATGGTTTCTTTAAAAATGAGCTAAACACTAATTTAAGAAAAGTGAGGTCAAGGTCAAAGAAAAGGTCAAGGTCAAAATATATTGATGCAGTTGAATAGCTCTTATCGGTATGTATCAGCATATGAAGTTTGACACTAATTTAAGAAAAGTGAGGTCAAGGTCAGAGGAAAGGTCAAGGTCAAAAAATGTTGATGCAGTTGAAAAGGTTACATCAGTATGTATCAGGATATGAAATTTGTTAAAAATATCTTGAATGGTTTCATTAAAACTGAGCTTAACACTAATTTAAGGAAAGTGAGGTCAAGGTCAAAAGAAAGGTCAAGGTCAAAAAAATGTTGATGCAATTGAATAGCATACATCAGTATGTATCAACATATGAAGTTTGATTACACTATCTTGAATGGTATCTTTAAAACTGAGCTAAACACTAATTTAAGAAAAGTGAGGTCAAGGTCAAAAGTAAGGTCAAGGTCAAAAAATGTTGATGCAGTTGAATAGCTTACATCAGTATGTATCAACATATGAAGTTTGATTACACTTTCTTGAATGGTATCTTTAAAACTGAGCTAAACACTAATTTAAGAAAAGTGAGGTCAAGGTCAAAAGAAAGGTCAAGGTCAAAAAATGTTGATGCAGTTGAATAGCTTACATCAGTAGGTATCAACATATGAAGTTTCATTACACTATCTTGAATGGTATCTTTAAAACTGAGCTAAACACTAATTTAAGAAAAGTGAGGTCAAGGTCAAAGGAAAGGTCAAGGTAAAAAAATGTTGATGCAGTTGCATAGCCCTCATCAATATCTATCAGCATATGAAGTTTGATAAAAATATCTTGGATAGTTTCTTTGAAACTGAGCTTTGAACAGAGCTAAACGCAAAGTGTGACGGAAGGACAGACGGAAGGACAGAAGGACGGAAGACGGACATGACAAACACTATATGCCCCGGCCATATTCATGGCGGGGCATAAAAATCTGCATAGTTTTCTACCTGCGGATCGTACCGTACAGAAATTGTGATTCCACAGAATTATGACCCTTCGAAAAGAGTATGTCTACAGTACCCTGGACTGAGTCAGAAAATGTCTGTTCTGTATCATTGTTTTTTTTAAGACAGGGGCATAATTCACTCAATTACAGCTGTAATCACAAGATAAATTGTGATGGGAGGAAAATAACTTCTTCTCATCCAGCTCCACAATCAATCAAGGTTATCAATCAGCCTGGACCAAAGCAAGGCTGCAATCCAAGAGGCACAAATACCTTTACATGGTACTTAAGACAAGAAATTAGCAAAAAATTCTATACAGAAGAATGAAAGAGTAACAGCTATAGGTACATTATAATATGACTTCTGGATGATGATCAATTGTTTCTTTTTTTTCTTTCTTTTTTAAGTTTCAATTTGTCTTGTTTTGTGTGTGTTTGTTTGTTTTTTAAGGGTGTGTTAATGATATAGAATATATCCTGCCATTAAAAAAGCATAATAAACCAACAAAGTACAAGTAGGATTTCTTGTGTGTCTGGTTTGATAAAGTATCAAGGATTTCTGCCTTGACTGCCCTAATATAGCTGTCTTGGGAAATAGTCTTGATGCCAAAGCTGCAACTCTAACCTAAACTGGGAGAAAATAACAGGCTTAATTACTTGACTTCTGAATACTTTAAAGGATGATTTATGCATTATGAATGGTTAATGATAAAATGATAGTCAATAATGGTTTGCAATGGATCTTTATCAGGCAATGGGACTGTTATGGGTATTAAATATGTTATTCTTCTGTTTCTATACAAAGAGATCACCGGATCCAAGATCTACAACTATGTGTTATTTTGATAAATGATGAACATGCAGCAATACCAGACTGATCTATGCTATGAATTCTGGAAAAGTGTTCCAGACATTTACCAAAACCAAGCAGATGCAAAAATAAATGGGCTAACAATCACACAGTTATACAATTTTACAATGGGTACAAAGTGCTAGCATCCTTTATTTCATGGAGATCGCAAGATATGCCAATGAGATATAAATGACATAACTTGAAGTATTATCTTTTTGTCTTCATGTTTACATCACAAACATGCAACCTCACAAAACAACCTGTTTCATGTCTTGTTAACTATTTATGAAGCATTTCATCAAGATTTCACCCTTTATCTTTAATCCAAACTTCCTAACCAATGTCATCCATAATTAGAAAAACAAAATCACCTAGATCTTCCATTGAATTGTTTTGCAAATAAAATATATTTACAGATATTTTTGACAACCATTACTCATGGACAAAGTGGGTTTTTTTTTTTATCATCAGTCTAACTTCGTTCTGATGGATCAGCACCATGCAGCGGCTAAACTTCTTTTTTTACCCAGAATTTCCCACAAGATAAGCATTCTGCAGCAATATTGTTACCTTTCATGTGGGAGGAGCTAATTAAAGTAACAGACACCACATGCTGTAAAACTCTATCATCCTTTTTTTCTATATAAATCTGCTAATCCCAGCTACTGGCTTGAAGATACTGCTCTTTTAGCACTTTGATTTTTCAAAATGAGAGACAAAGAAAATGTGTACTTTTCAGCTACCTGCCAAAGACTCATTATACATTGACCGAAAGATGATAGGAGATTAGCATGTCTCTTCTTGTGAAGTTTCAATGTGCTTTATATGACTAATGACGTCATAGAAGGCTATGAAGAATTTTTTTCTTTCACATTTTTATTCCCATGACACCTTCCACGATGTGACAGCTAGTTAATGTTTTAAAATCTGAGTTGTCTGGAAATTACTCTGCACTTCTTTCATACTTTTCTTCCAAATACTCCAAATTTTCTTTCTATTATTAGATGTGAAAATGTACATAGGTTTAAGGTTCTGTAAAAAGCTAACAGCATGAATTTCAACATGTTATTGTTTAAGTTATGTTTTATAGTGATTTTAATGTCCACAAAAAACAGAGGAATGCCGACAGCAATCAATCAATGATTGATGTCAGATATTGTTTGAATATGATCTGGATGCAACACTACGAAACAAAACAAACAGACTAGTGTACAATCAATACTGCTGTCATCATCTCATGATTAGGAACCAAATCTTCATCCTCTCAAGGTATTTACTGAACTTAACTATACAGCTCAATGTGAGAAAGGTGTGATTTTTTTTCCAATTCCCATGCATGTTCTATATATCCATTGTCCATTGATTAAAAGAGTGAGTTTAAGACATAAGTCATCTATATTACAATACATCAGACACATTTGAATGTGTGACAAGAGGCCCATGGGCTGCAATGCTCAATCCTTTATCACCTTCATTGTAAAATTGTTGAGGGGGGGGGGGGGGATGTCATAATTCCATCAATATACTACATTCCTTTCTTCATTCCTGAATGACATTCGAATGTTGTGAACAAAGTTTCATGTAACATATGATTTTTGAGATGAAATACATTGTATGTTTAAATAGAAAACATTCTGTACACAAACTATGATCACAAAAACAATAAAACAAAGAAGCATTTATTATAAATTTTCCTTTCAACATGTCTTCCTTTCCTCAAGTTTCAGTAATTCTTATTCCTGAAATTATTAGTTTCCAGCATCTTAAAGTTTCTGAATTCCTCAAAACCAAACCTAAAGGAAGCATGCATTCTTGTACCTTTCAAAATCCCTTGGTTCATGCTTACATCATTTAGCAATAACAATGAGAAAATGATTAACACTGATTACAATGTAAAGGAGACTTCTGTACTGCTAATCTGTTGAACATAATACAAAACCCAAACAAATAGTCAGGAAGATAACCCTGCAAACCCTTCCTGATCAGGCTTTGCCATCTTCAGAAGTTGCTTTGCAAAAACACAGATAACTCTTAAAACACCCCCAAGAAAAACATTTAA